AAACATGTTTTTTTAAATTTCTATTTTCGTAAGTTTAACTATTCTTTTTTGGTTTATTCGTTTTGCATTATTGAATTAGATGATAAAAGAATAGAAACATACAAAAATGTTGATTATTACTAAGTATTATACAGGAATATAAGCAATACTCCTTAAGTGAGCGGGGATACCCGACTCTCCCCTATATATAAAATTAATGAGATAATTAATATAAAGATTTCATTTTAAATTTTTGACTCATTATTGAAAACACTAATTGTAAGGGTATATCATTCTAAAAATTCATTCTGTTTTAGGAAATAAACCTAAAAAGTGTTATATTTGTAAGCAATTCATATTTCTTCCATTGGAAGTTGAATGGGATTAGTCTGGACGCGTCCACACTAGTCCCTCCATCTACACTAGCTCCAAGAAGAGATGTGATAATCTATGCTTAATACTGGTTAATTGATAGTATACGGAACAAAAGTTAGTATCAAAACAGGTTAGAAAACAGTATAATTTATAACAAATTGTCCCCTTTTGTTCAAAAAAAAGTGTTACTGAAAAATTCTTTTTTTGAGAAGTTACTTTTGCCCCTAAAAAAACATTATTTTGCAATTTTCTGCTAAAGTGCTCACAGTCGGATTATGCAACTACAGACGTTACCAATCAACGATATCTCACATAGGAAATATGACTAATAACCAAAACAGTTATTAAAAATGTCTACTCTAGTTCCCCCTTCCCCAACAAAAAGTTTCATACTTACTTTATATCCAATGACAACCTGTGAACATTTAGTCAATTCAGGCATTTACAGGGCAGATTTGTTGCCCACTCTTTCAGGGGCACCATATTAGGTGGGTCAACGTTGCAAAGACAGATAATACAAAGAACGAAAGAACATCCATGCCTTGTCCGGGATTGGAACCCAGTTCCGATGCATGGCCAGTAATCTGATCCCTACACAGTTTGTTCGGCTAGTTTAATATTAGTCAACGAGAAATATCACTAATAGTAGATGGATCGTAAATCAGATTAAAATTGGCCTCACGTGAGGTTCTCCTCTTCTCTATAATGTAAAATTTTGACACGTTTCATTCAAAAATCTATGATTAGGCGAGTTTGTTGTTTGCTCTAATGCTCAACAGGTTTCCTATTGTTTAGCTCAGATTCAAAGGTTGCAGAATTGATTTTTGACAGTTGTCGCTTGAATGCTAAGGAGCGAACTGTTAAATGATGTGTGCTGTTTTTTTTTTTTCTTTTGTCGTTAGAATTGTTTTGCGTCTAGTGCTAGTAGTTATACAGGGTTCCCACGATCCTGAAATTTTTTTAAGTGGTAGCAAACGTGAGATAAATCTAGATATTTTAAGCTACCAATGTACTTTTTTATTTAAAGAAGCTATATATGGACGCAAAAAATACCTTGGGAATAATTTCATAATTCTCAAATGAATGATTAATTTAAGAATTTTTCAGTAGTTCTGAAAAATCTTAGCTACCATTAATTTATTTTTCATGGTCGTGGAAACTCTGTTATACTTTTATTAACGTCGCTCTAGAGCTGCACAAAGGGATATCGACGACGGTCGGAGATAGATCCCTGAGGATGATCCGAAGTTAACATACGTCACATCCCGTTTTACAGAGAAGACACATTTACACACCATCCATCCGTTCGCAGATCGTAATTTTGACCGGAAGAGCACGATCAATCTTCGATTCAGTTTCCCCAGAGGTTTACAATATACAAGACACCAAACACAACTTGCGTCTCATTCTGTTTTACCGGGAAAAAACACTCACACGCCATTTACTTGACTGCATATTGTAATTTTGACTGGAACCAGAGCGCGATCAACCTTCGATCCAGTACCTCCAGAGGTATTGAGTTGTTATAGGAACTTGGAGGACTTTGTGACCCCGACAGATTAAGCGTGCACCAGTCTCCAATTTGTAAACATGGCACTCACGACCCCCTCGGACATTGGCCTAGCGCCCTACCAGTCAAGCTATCCCGGTCCCGCCTAGTTTCACAATGTCTTGATTATGTTGCATAAACAAAAATTTTTGGGACATAAGAAAGCAAAGTTTTGTAATATAAAATTTAGAAATCTATATATTTTAAGAAGCATGTAACCTGGGCTCTATTGCCAAATGAAATATCACTTTTCAGTGAATAATTTGACGTTTTTTATAACTATTGAGAGTTTGTAATAGTTATTCCTGCCTGGTAGGTTGTCAATCTTTGGAAGGCGCCTTCTATTTTAATTATGATAAATGGTAAAAAAAATTACAATATTCAGAAAAGCCATAGAATTTTGAAAATGAAAAGCATTTATGGTATAATATTTAAAAAAAAAAGTTTAGATTATTGAGACAAAAGATACAAGTTTAAAATACAAAAATAATTTATTGAGCATTCTTCCATTTAGGAGATACACCAATAATTAAATTATGTTTTGGTGAACAAGATTTAGGATGAAGTGTGGTAAGTCTAACTTCATATTCATATTCTTGAGCAAGATGAACTCTGTCAGTATCAATCAATCCCATACATAGCTCTCCTGAAAAAAATTAAAAATAACTCATAACTTAAGGATGAAAGTTGTGACATAAGTTTTAAAAATACGAAATAAACTAGATTAAACCTTTTAAAAACTTCAATAGAAAATGAAGACTTTGCAGTGACTTTATTTCTTGCGTATAAGCTTCAAATTGATAAAAACTAAAAAAACTATAAATTCTTAAATAATTTAAATTGTTCATGTCAGCGTTAATTTTTTTTTTAACATTTTAATTTGCTGACAAAAGATAAGCTTTTTAAAGTTACTCGTTGATTTTTTTGTTGCCAAAATGCACTTAGGATCGTTTTTCACTCCAAAAACACTCAATTCCATTCAATTAGGTCTGCAAGATTTGGAAAAATAAACTTAATTTTTCCCAAAGTCTTGATAAAATTAAAAATCCTAAAATAAGGTAAGTCCTGGAGAAATACCATTTTTTAAAAATGTCATTTAAAAACTTCTTCCACAGTCAAAGCTCTAGAATTTTTAAAAAAAAAGATCCAAAATGTTTTACAACATTTAATGCTATGTTGCTGAAAAAGTTTTCCCCATTTCTTCAGAAGGACATTTCATATTTTAAAACTGCAGTACATAATTTTTTAATCTATTTTCAAATGTTTTTGAAAAGAATGTTTTCGCATTTTTAAATGTGCAAAGGAAATTAGTTCACCCCAAGAAGGCGATCAGAATAAATTTTATTGATAGTGACTAGGAAAACTTCTTTAGGTCAATAACTAATGTTTGGGTATATTTTTTTCGTTTTAATTTTCGGAATATATATTATGGAACTAATTAGAAAATTTTAATTTCTCAGTTTTAGCTATTTTTTAAACTTTTCCAATGCTACTGCAGTAATTTTGAAGTTTCTGAAAATCATTTCAGAGAATAAAACCAAATAATAACTGCTGAAAACTATTATTCAGAGATTTAACGTATAGGGTATTGGTATTAATATATATTTGCATAGGTCAGCATAGGAATTCAAAGAGGTAGAATCTGGCTACAAGGCATTGCTTATTCTTCCATACAAAGTATGACTGGACCACATCACTTTAGAATGGTTTTGATTTAATTTAAGGATATGGAAATAGCATTTCCAGACAAATATCTTTTTAACTGCTTTATGTGACCAGAACTAGTCCGATAAAAACGTTGTATTTGTTAAATATTTCTGTACAAGTCATATAGCACAGTTTCATTAAATTCCATTTTTGATAAAAATTCTAAAAAATATTGATTAAGAGCAATCATTACAGAACACCCTGTATATATCATGAGATTTCTGCAGAAAGTATTAAATGGCATATTACCTTGTTTGGCAGTAGGTGTGTTTACTTCATTTCTATCAGCACAATGGGCAAGAAGAGTATAATTCTATAGAGGAGAAAATGTATAGCATTTAAATATGTTTTTTTTCCATGCATTTATTCAAACATCAAGTCTAATTTAAAATGCTGTATAAATGATGTAACATTTACAGACTTCAAATGCACTTAATTTTGAATAAAAAAGTTTTTATTAACTTTCATATACATAAAGAATTTTTAAAAATTAAAAACTGGTTCTTAGAGATGTAATTTAATGTGTAATAGACAGCTTTTAATTTTTTTAAAAATTTCTAAAAGTAATGAAAATTGCAATGAATATAATTATCACCAAAAGTTGTTAGAATAAAAAATTTCCTGCAGTGCACTGATCATAAAACACAGATCCCAGTAGATCAATGGAGTCTAGCATCGTTGGCAACAGTTAGGGAGAGAGTAGAAAACCACTTTGAAGTCTGCGGTCCCTTCACAGTTTGACGGGACAGAGGGTGGGTGGTAGCGGTTTTCGTTAAGCTCTTCTACTGTAAAAAGCTTGACTTCACTTGCAGGCCATCGGTGTTACAAAGCTGGGAAACCAATCCCTTTGCAGGGAATCAAAAATGTGGTGGCATGTTTTCCAATTGTTCTCAGGTATGTTTGCCAATAGTCCAATCACCAAAATCGTTAAGTACGTTGTGAAAATTAAAATCTACAGTAGCGTGAGTTTAATGAGTTATGTGCATTTAAAGTCTACAAATGTTGCTTTTGTAATAATGGGATTGCTTTGCTACATATATGTGTAAAAACTTAGTAATCTACTGAAAAATACATTTTTGTATAATGAATAACTATTATTTTTTTGTATAAACATACTTTATAAGATAATCCAGTTGTGCGAAATGTGTTGCTCAGAGGATACTGCAGCAAATGTGTGTCTTGAATACCACCATAACAACATGGGCAACACACAAATGAAGCTTGTTGCTGTAAACATTGCTGAATCACAAGATCAGTAGCCACACCACAAGCATGTAATGAAATGCCCATATCAAAGGATCTCTTGAAGTAATCCAAATTGCACTATACATTAAATAATAGAAAAAGGGTAAATGTTATTTCACACACTGAAATAAAAGATATCATATGAACATCTGATATAGATTTATGGACATTTGATACAGATTTATGGACATATGATACAGATTAATAGATAATCTAAAAAATATTTCATATTATATTACAGAAGGTAAATGCACTAAACTGTGAAGGTGATCTTTGTCATATTGCCTCATATTTGGAGGTTCAAGAATCCAGTTTAGTGCTTAACTTACTATTAATAAAAAATATTTTGGATTAATATATAATTTAAAAATATTTAAATATCATAAAAAACAATTTATAAAGTCATAAATCGTTTATTATGATGTTATGAAGTCATAATGAAAAATTTTTAAAGCAAAAACTATAGTTTGATTGTCAATAAAGCTGTCAAAAAAGATGAAAAAAAATTTCTAATTAGATAATTCTGTTTAAATTTTAGACTTTGTTAATTAAAAATCAGAAAAAGGAAGTTTATGTAAAAAATTCAAAAAATAATATTTATATTTTCCTTGTCATGTTTAAATGAAAGAATGAAAAACAAAAAACTATTAAAATGAATTAATTAAATGTTAAAATGCGAGATAAAAAAACTTTTAATATGTACGGTTAGTTCCAAAAGTTTGAGGAAAAGCTCAAAAAATTAAAACAATTTAAATAAAACTAAATTATTAAATTGAGGAATATATTTTTCTGTCAAATTGCATTAAAAAAAAACAAATTAATTTTTACTGCACTTATAAAAAATTAATAATATTCTTGAAGTTTAGAAACAAAACACACTATTTCAAACATTATCTTTCAACAACTTTGATACATTTTTAATAACATTTGTAAGCATAACATGATCAGATAAATATACTTGATAAAAAAGATGAATAAAATATAAAAAGGTTTAATCTCTCAAACTTCTTATCATCTCCTTCCCACTGTCAGAATTCTCCATTCCCTCTGTTTATAATGCATTCCTTTTTTCAGTGTTAAAATTGAGTGCTTTTTTAAATCATAAATAAAATAGGCAATCATATGTAATCATATTTCGGTTGAAAAACTAAAAACAATGATTCTAAGTTAAATTTGATGGGTACAAAAATAGTAAGCTGTTAATATTGCATGCAATACATTTATAATATATTATAAAATATATACATTTATAATACTGTATAATATATTTCCCAAGAAAAATTTCCATTTTTTCAAGAAATTATAAAATATTTGGAAAAAATGGGAGCAATGTACTAATTTTTCAAACGTTACACAAACATAAGGAACATGTTACACAATATATAAGGAACAGGAACACAAATAAAAGGAAAACTTCCTAAAAAAAGGAAGAGTTAGCACTGGCTTTGTTACTTAAACATTTTTAAAATACATAAAAAAAGAATTACTTGATAGTAAACAATATTCTTCAAATTCAAAACTTTTGCTCGAAGAAAAGCTCGTTGCATAGATGATTCTTTGTTCTCAATAAGGATTATCTATAAAACAATAAAAAGAAAACTTTATAACTACAAAGTATATTTTGTTATAGTATACAAATTAGTCAAACTAAAGATTTTGACTGTAAACACAATAGAGATGAGGCCAAATCAACCAGAGAACTCAAACCAGACTTTTTAGCTGAAGGATATTTTTAGGCAGATATAAAAATTTTCAAATACTTTATATCTACTTTCGAACTAAAGAAGTATACAAAAAACCTTTTGATTTCATTATTAAGTATAAAAATAATGGCCAAAAATATTAAGCATAAAAAATTACCAAATGTTAAACCTTAAGATCTAATAATCAGTACTTTTAAATAAAAGATCTTACTTAGCTTTTCTCTGCATGAACTTTACTTACTACCAATTTTTTAGACAAATATAATTTTGCGCTGCGGTTTAAAAAACTTCTATAGATTTCCAGAAAAAAGGGTTTTACCAGCTACAGAGTTATAATAATAAAATAAAGCTTGAAAAATACTAAAAATTGTTTCATTTCGAAATTTTTCTCATGTAATAAAAATGCTATTAAACGCCAACTAAATACTTTACTTGCAGATTTTAAAATCTGGTCATTAAACCAAAGCAAGATAAGAAAAAAAAAACTATTCAAACAATTTTACAGCTTCCAAAACATGTAGACTACCATTTATCCTGGCATACAAGTTGACTTTTCAAACTTCGAAAATTGTATGACACGAACATTGGTTGATTGTGAAAGATCTCCCCTTTCAAACACTATTTTTGATATGTTATATTCAACTAATTTTGCATTTTATTATATTTCCATTGCATATAAAGTTTTTTTATTAGAAACAACACAATACGTTCAGAATAAAAAATAAAAATAAGAAAAGTGAATATAATTTATTCAAGAATAATTCAAAAAATATAACACATTGAAAAGTTCTGAAACGTATAATAAAGCTACAAGTTTAAAAATTCTACATCATCTGTGTCTGATTCAAAAACGTTAGCAGTGTCATTATACACCTTACAGGATTTGTGAATGCCACATCGTTATTTGAGAGTAAAATTTCGAAGACTTAATAAACTTTTTATGCTTTTTAATTTTAGAAATATTTGGTTTCCTCAACAGTCGATTTATATCCCTAACATACTAGAAATTTGCCAACTCGTAAACAAAGATAGGGAGTCTACTTATACTACAGATCGACTAATACACAGGGATGTACAATATCACCCAAAAGAAAGAATTTTGAAAGATATAAGACGACAGTTAGAGAAGCTACAATGAATCTTCATAAACTCAGTAGCCTAAAATAAACATACATCATAAAACAATAATTACTTACTTTACATTTAGGCAGAAAGTAAGCAAGCAATAGTCCCACGTGACCCTGAGAATATGCAAATACAATTTATTAGAAACATTTTAAACCGTTTAATAATGATTCAGTATGCTATAACTGTTAAATAAAATTAAAACACGTTTACATAATTTTACACAACATATATAGCATTTAAAACACGTTTACATAATTTTACATAACATATATAGCATTTAAATAACAATATATTATTAAATAATGAAATAGTTATAAATTTTTGTTCTTATTATTTTATTCTTAAGTTTGTGTTTTTCTTGTTGCAACATCAGACAAGATACGAATGAAATGTGAGGCAAGATTTAAGGCAAGATCATAATAAAGGAATAAAGCTTTCTCTAAATTTCACATCCCATGTTTCTTTCCAAAAAAGGTTCCTAGGAAAATAACTATTTTTTTGTATTTGTCAGTATTTATAGGAAATTCTTTTAATGCACATTTTCCCCACCTGTCTAATGCCTTTAAGTAAAGCAACAAAATAAACTATCATCACTTTTTATGGTTTATTTACAGTATTTTAATAGCCATTTAGGTGTGCATATTTAATAAATTATCAATAAACTTGATAGTGAGCAAAAGTTACTCAACTTAATAATATATTCATTCTAAACAAAATAGAATAAACAATTAAAGAAAGAATAAAAAGTTCATTGTTTCAAGTTTTCTTTTTCTGTAAGTAAAATATGGAAGTGAACTTACTCCACCAGCACAAAATTCAACAATAGTTTGTCCTTCAACAGCAATTTTTAGTGCAGCAGTAACTATGCTCTCAATTTGTTGACATTTTCTTTCAACACGTTTTGCTGGCAGATCTCCTGAAATTTATTATTCAAATGCAGAACCATTGATTGTAACTGGTAAAATACAAGACAAAAATTATATTTATAACCATGTTTTCCAAGAAAGTACAACACAACACCTGGATTTTAATAAAAAGGTAAAATCAATTTACATTTTTAAAATATAATGATATCATAAATAATTTAAAACTCTAACTTTGACATAATTCTATTTTTAAGTCAGATACTGTTACTATAGTATGTTTCTGAGTAACTACTGAAAAAAAAACCCGCTTTGTAAATCAAAATTGCATGAATTATAGAATAAAAGTTTAAAGTCCTTAATTTTTTGACATTTGTTTTATAAAATGAGTTTTTGCAAAAGGTTAAAAAAATGAATTAATGAAAATTTTACACTAAAAATTAACAAATGTTGCAATTTCCAATTTCAAAAATATAAATATTGTCAATTTCTAAGCATTTGACATCGAATTAAAAATAACTTGCAAGTCTATTTTTTTTTAATTATTATTTTTGCTTGTGGTGATTTTGTTTTTATTTTCAAAGTTAATGTTGAACAGTACATCATATCTGTGTTAGACTAAAGAAGTAATTACATAAAACAGTAACTATTTGACGTAATTCATAATAGTAATGTGCTTTCTTGTATTCATTGATTTACAATTAGGAGTATTTTTTCTGTGGATTATTACATGCATTTATTTTAACAGTAAAAATTATAAAAAATTTACAAAAGTGTCACAAAAAATTTACACATCCTCAACATGTCATGTTTGTTACATATTAGTGAATTTGAGAAAAAGTTTTAGAATATATAGAAACAACATTAACCTGCTCACAAAATACCTTTATCCTCTGTAAAAATTACCTTATTTAAAGATTTAACAGAATAGATTAATATCCTTTATTTACTTACAGTAAAACATAACATATTATTAAACTGTAAAATGCTACTGTTAACTATGAAAATTTTGTAACGAAAATAAAATGTTAACATAAAAAATAAATGAAAAATAAAGAAATCAGTATTATTAAAACCAGTGTTCTCCCTAAGAGTCTTTTTTAATTGCAGCCCACCCTGCCTACCCTTTTGATCCCAATAAATGCAGTTAATAATGAAAACTTTCATAATTAAATTTTACTTTTCAACCTCGAAAATTGTATGACACGAACATTCGTTGATTGTGAAATATCTCTCCTTTCAAACATTATTTTTGATATGTTATATTCAACTAATTTTGCATTTTATTTTATTATATTTCCATTACATATAAAGTTTTTTTTAGAAACAACAATATACAATAATTAATTTAATACTAATTAATAATAATTAATTTAATACTTATTAATAATTTATTTTAATACTAATCTGAACAGATGTATTACCAGTAGCTGGATGGAGTTCTTTAGGCAAACTGTTCCAGTCTAACTGAGTACAGCAAGTTTCAGAGTACTTTGGATAAATTTCAAACTTCTATAATGAAAAGAGAACATTAAATGAAGGCAATAATTGTCAATAGTTAAGAACACAGTTTCATTGTTATCAATATTAAATTTGTACTGCATATAAAACTAAAGTAAAATTTCAAAATTCTTCAATAAAATTCAATACTGAATTTGATGTTTTTAAATAAATTAACCCAAGAAACTGAAGCAGTGAAGGCTTGATTAAAAACTTCATTCATGTTAAAAATATGTAATTAAAAATAACAGTCGAAGTGCTTTGAGTGCTCAAAAACAAGCGCCTATTTTCAAATCTTGCCGAATGTCAATGAGAAGAAACAAAAGTGATTTGAAATATAAAAGGTTTTCCATTTTATAATTCAAATCACATTTTTAATTCACGTCTGGCTAGTCTTAAAAATGGGCACTTGTTTTTGAGCGCTTGAAACATGTTGACTGTTGTCAATTCTTAATTATATGTATTTGAAGTGAATCAATAATTTTAATTAATTGTGAATTTTAATTAAGTAATAACTGTTATTGTTATCTATCTAAAAATATATATCAGTTGCATATGGGCAATATTTCAGAGACTATAAAAATATGTAAGGCATTTTCTACATTAAATTCTTTTTAAAAAATAGATAATTTTGATTTCAAAGTGATATGCATGTACTTAAAAAAAAAACTATATTTAATATGAAGAAGGAATTTCAGGGTGTCATTTATGTTGAGATGATGATAGGCAGGTGAGGTTGGAGGGTGTATGGTATAGTGGGCCAAGTTGAAGAATACTGACAAATTTAAGACAGTGACGATAAACAGTAGAAGATGAATAGAATACTCGAACCGGATCAGAATTAATAAAAAGCTTTTAATTTAATATATTTGCAGAGCTCGAGTTTCAATATATGAATATCATTCATAAGAATTTCAGTTGAATAAGTTTTGCATAGTAATATNATATAATATTAATTAATTTAATACTAATTAATAATATTAATTAATTTAATACTAATTAATAATATTAATTAATTTAATCCTTATTATTAATTTATTTCAATACTAATCTTAAAAGATGTATTACCAGTTGCTGGATGGAGTTCCTTAGGCAAATTGTTCCAGTCTAACTGAGTACAGCAAGTTTCAGAGTACTCTGGATAAATTTCAAACTTCTATAATGAAAAGAGAACATTAAATGAATGCAATAATTGTCAATAGTAAAGAACACAGTTTTATTTTTAACAATATTAAATTTTACGGCATATAAAAGTAAGGTAAAATTTGAAAATTCCTCAATAAAATTTAATATTGAATTTGATGTTTTTATATAAATAAACCCAAGAACTTAAACAGTGAGGACTTGATTAAAAACTTCATTCGTTTCAAAAATATGTATTTAAAAAATAACAATCGAAGTGCTTCAAGTGCTCAAAAACAAGCTCCCATTTTCAAATCTTACTGGATGTCAATAAGAAACAAAGGTGATTTGAAATATAAAAGGTTTTCCATTTTATATTTCAAATCACTTTTTTTAATTCAAGTCTGGCTAGTCTTAAAAATGGGCACTTGTTTTTGATTGCTTGAAACACGTTGACTGTTGTTATTCCTTACTTATATATATTTGAAGCGAATGAAGTTTTTAATCAAGTAATAACTGTTTTTGTAATCTATCTAAAAATATATATTGGTTGCATATGGGCAATATTTTAGAGACTATAAAAATATGTAAGGCATTTTTCACATTAAATTTTTTAAAAAAAATATCATTTTGATTTCAAAGTGATGTGCATATGTTTAAAAAAAAACAATATTTATAGTTAGAAAAGAAATAATTGTTCAGTTATAAAACTTGTGTTTAATTTTGAAGTATTTTAGTTCAAAGTTAAATTTTTATTGAAATTTTCTGCGTTTGATAAGGTTAACAAAATTCAAGCTCGAATTATTCATAATGATATCATAAAAAGGATCTGTAACAAAATCATACCAATTTTTACCTCTAATAGCTGCAATGTCTCAGTTGGATTCTTATATTTTATCCTCATCTTAGAATGAGATGGATCTCTGAAAAAAATTGTAAATTGCATTTTTATTAAACTCAAATGTTATTGATGAGTATCATAATTTTATTCATATATTTTATTCTCAAATTTATTGTTTATTGCAAGTAGTTCTTAAGTAATTTTAAATAATTATATAACCTTCATTCAAAAGATACATTTGAATTAATTTAGAATCCTAATTTAAGAATGGGTTTTAAGAGACAAAAAAATTTTCAATGTAAGACATCAGTATTAAACAATAAATTAAAACACCTTTTACGTTAAAATGCTAGGTTTTGAAAAATAATTCCTTAATGAAGTTCATTCATACTAACATGAAACAATATTAAAAGTACTTTGAAAAAGTCATTTAAGCAAAAAAATTCAATTAATAATTACATAATTTTCAACAAGAAAACAAAAAAATTCTTTAGTTAATATAAAACTTTTAGAAAAAAAAAAGCTGAAAAACGTACCTTTTGTACAAACTATCTTGGTTAATTGTAGGAATTGTAATAGAAGGTTTCAAACATGGCAAAGTAGGGATGGTCTTCGGAAACATTCCACATTTTATGGCAGCTTCTTTTATTTGCTCATTGCTGGTCATCCTTTGATACCAATTTAATACATTTTCAAAGTTCTCTAAGTGAGAAAAAGGCAAATTTTCCTAAAATGGAAATAATGGGTAAATAATACAGATATTTATTTAAACTGCTGTTGTTAGTTCAAACTAAAAAAGAAAAGATTTATATTGCTATAATTGTTATTCAAAAGAAGACAATCATATTAAGTGATTAAAGATCAAAATAAAAATGATACCGAATTCAGCACTTTTATGTAATACAATAAAACAGTAATATAGTAGTTGCAGTAGGTCAAAGGAGTTAAAGTACTTTAAAGCGCTAGTACAGAAAAGTCAGTATCAACTACATTCATTAAGAAGTAGTTATAACTATACGTGAAAATAATCACTTGCCACATGGCGAGTCAACAAAAGAGAGTGACGACTTAAATAAACAACCAATCACTTTTCCCATCTTATTTTTTTTTTAAAAATTTTCTTACTGTGCATTGAATTTTCTATGACTGTAACGTCAATTCAGCAAGTTAAACTAAATTTTGTCAGATACTTATATTATTTTAATTGTTGATTTTTAATTTTTTATAGCCTTAGATTATTTCTGATTGATTATTACTATAACTGATTATTACTAATATGAATTTTTTTTAAAGAAAATAATTTAATCCAAAAAAAAAATGGAAATATTGGCTATTAGATGAATATGACCTATTGGCATTGGTTACTAACTCAATAGGTTTGAGAAAAAAGTGGCTGCTAAGTTATTAAAGTCAACTGGCCACTAACTGGAAATTTAAATTTTCTGCTCCAAAATACTAAAATCTGGCCGAGAACAGGGAACAGGGAAAAAAGTCTGTGAAATTCTAGAGCCGACCCAGGAAATAATTACACAATTGAAGAGTAGTTTTAGTAAATAAAAATTTTAATTATAAAGGCTAAAGATAAATTAATAAAATCAACTTTGGTGATGATTACCATTATCTGCTTCCTTAATCTAGATTGTGGAACATATCTGTGCTAGTGTTGTCAATAGATTATCAATCAAGTAAAAATAAAATCCATCACAATGAATAAGACTAACTTTACAAAATCAAGTAAATTTTAGTACATGAAATTTTGAAATTCAGTTTTATTCCATTATCAGAAAAAAACAAATTATACAGCGTATAGAATAATAAATTTTATTACTGAAAATTTAAAATCAATATCATGCAATTCTAAATACTTACCATAAAATAATGAACGCAAGGAAAGACAATCATATCAGCCAGTGTAAGATCAATGCCCTCCAAATAGCAATGATTAAGGGAAAACTCTTTAGTTTTTTCTGTAATAACCAAGTTTTTTAAATTTTCGACCAAGTCTTCCTTTTGAACAGGATGCTCATTATTATCACACAAAGTAAAGTTTTTCACTATGCTTGGGGATGCAGATGAATCACAAGTCACTGGATTTGTCTTGCCATTTTTAATTTCGCGAGCAATGTCTAATTTTCTTTTCAAAATATTATGTGTTCTTACAGGTCTTCTTAAATGTGCCTCTAATAAGACAAGATTTTCTGGAATCACAGTTTCATCAGATTTGTTACTGAAATTAATAAAATATATTAGAACACTATTATAAAATTTCATCAAATTTGTGCCAATATTTTATTAATTTACTGATATATTTAACTTTTACCTTAACTTTACGACACTTAAATTGATGTTAATCTTCTCTTAACTTCACAATGAAAATTGTAAATATTTTTTTGTAATTTTATAACTTCTTAAATTTAAATTTTTTTTAAATATTTGGGAGTATTAAACTTATGCTTTGAATAAATATGACATATCTGCCAGCATTTACATATTTCAAAGAAGGTTGTTGAATTGAAGAGACATTATATAAGCAGACATCCAATTCACATTTAGTTGACACTTACTACACAATAAGATAACTAGCAGGCTTGCTATAAGTATGTTTAAGCTATTTAAATATAATGGTAGAAATATAATGGTAAAATATGGTGGTAGAATAATGGTAGAAATATAATGGTAAAATATGGTGGAAATTTAAATATAATGGTAAAATTTGCATCAAATATGAAAGCAGAAATTTTTCTACTAGATTAGATATAAAAATAATATCTTCCAAAAATTTCAGAAGAGTTTGCTGGCTTTACAATGTTTTTAAAACAGTTTGAATGGCATATTACTGAACAAATTTGTACAATGTTTATTAGTCAGTAACATGTAGCGAAACTCATCGTTAAAGAAACTAATTTTTCATACATAAATTGAAAAAAATTTAGTTTCCTAAAAGGCCATGAAACAGTAACTAATTAAACATGTAGACAGATCAAGGAACTGGAATATAAGTCAGCATTATAATAATTACATACAAATAATTAAAACAATACATATTGGTTTCATGAGAGTTTTAACCTATAAAGTCAAGACATAGCAACAGTTTTGAAAGGAAACATACACACTACATTTACAGCAAATTAAAAAGAAAGTCAACTGAAACAATAAAACATAATTTTATGAGAAATGAGTAAATCAGTTACTTTTTTAACAGAAAAACTTCCTTCACAGAACTTGGTAATTGAAGTTCACAAAATTTTGTCCATATTGAACTCTGAAAATACATGAAATTTAAGTACATTTAACATCAAATTATGTTCAGAATAAAGATTGTTCTATTATGACACAATATGATGCTTACTTCTGTACAAGCGACCAAACAACCTCCACGAAAACCCTATAAAGTAATTAAAAAATAATAAGCACTGGACATAAAAATAACATGAACAATGAACTATAACATAAAAACTCATCCTCAAGTTCCTGAATAAATATCACTAAAAATTAAGTATGTTATAAAATCTTAATTAAAGCTTTTTTTTTAAATCAATATTTTACAGTATTTTAACTGTGAAACTAAGTAAACCAATTCGAGAAACTGGCCTCGTGTCTCCAATATTTCGGAAAATCAAAAACAAGACTTTAGACAGAAAATTTAAAAAATTTAGAAACAACTCACTTTGAAATAAGAAATTTTGTTTTGAATTAAGATATAACAGGAAATCTCAGTGAATATCAAATATTTGTTTGCAAAAATCATACCATGAATTAAAAATACTGAATTAAAACTAATATTACTTCGTAATTTTTGAAATTTTATTATAATATGATAGCAAATAGTAATTACTTATTTAAAAAATTTGAACAAAATTTAGCTTTGAATTCTAATTTTTAGGTTTATAAACTAGTTTGTTCTTACAGATGCGTGTAAATACTGTTTTATGCTACAAATAAAAAGGTTTTATGAGGGTACAATAGCCTCTTTAAGAAACATAGGCATGTCACTGCTAGAATTCCCTTAAATTTTAATTAGAATAAAATAAAATTTTAATAAATAAAAATTAAATTTTAATTAGAATATTTTATCTTACAATCGATGTTGAACAGCTTGACCAATTCTGAGTTTACGACTATCATTGTACAACTTCATAATCAAATAATTTTGAAACTCCACCCAGAAGACAAGGGAACTCCTGGATCAAGCATTGGGACAAAATATCCTTCATGAAAGACTTTTTGATTGAACTAACCTTCATTTGCATTACACGGAGAAGAAAACCACAAAAACCACCCACGGTAATCCTGACAGCAAAGGGATTCTAACCTATGATACATCTACACAGAGGATATTTTACATCATAAATGTGGTAGGTATGAGCTGGGAACAACCAGCCACCACTGGGATTTAAACATGGGTCATCTTATTGGCATCTGTGAGTTTGTTTTCCAGCTTATACCAGCATATACAATACTTATATCAAGGGCTTAAGTTATTTAGAACTTTTCAAACAGTAAAATTAAAAAAATTAAGTAGAAAAATAAAGAAGAGATTTTTGTGCTGGAATTTTCTGCAAAAAATCACAGTTGACAGTTTTTGTTCTATTCCGTAGCCCTTCTTCCGTACTTTCTGATTCTGATGAATGCTTCACCTGAGCAAGGTATACTTACAAAGCAGAGGTATACCTTTCTTTTCTCCTTCCTAAATCACATAAATACTCAATTCAATAAATAAGATTTAGCTTAATAAAATAACTATTTTCTTAAATATTTAATACTTGTTTATTGAAAAAGCAAATGATATAATTTGCTTTTTCAATAAACAAGTATAAAAATTCATAATTTATCTTACCAATAAAGAGTGTGAAAAATGCTGAGGGCACGCAATTAGCTTGTCTTTTATGACCCATCTTAATACTGAACATAATCCACTTATAAAAAATATTTCATTGTCTGAATGAATAGCNCAACTAGGTAGGAAAAAAAAAAAAAAAAAAAACCAACTATATATATAAGCATAATTCAGAGAAAAATTAAGTGCATGATATTTTCACTACAAAATTGGGTGAAATTACTTGATAAATAAAATATTAAATTTAATTTTATCTTCCAAACTTTGATGTATCTAATTTGTGCACTCAAAAAAATTAATAAATAAATAATGCTTTATTTTTGTTCAGTAATAATATGCTTTGTATGTCTTCACTGTTCAATCTTATTGAGCTGGATGTTGCAGGAAAGATATATAAAATTATTTATTACAAATTATAAAAAATTAGGACTTAAATGCTTTTAAAACTAAGAGAAAGTTATTCAACAGAAGTTTTCGACAAGAGACACGATAAAACAAAAGTTTAAGCAACTTAAACTATATTTATGAACATCAACATTAAATTATTATCTCTATTGGTAAATAAAAACTAAATTTGAGGTTTAAAGAATATAAAAATACTTACAAAATTTTGCTTCTCACTCTTGCTTAGAAATGAATAATGAATGCCATTAAGGATGCTTACAGGTATTGTGCAATGATTATTTTCTAAATTCTCAATAAAACAAATTTGTATGTCTAACTCGCAATATATATACACAAAAATACAAATATATGTTTCGATAGGAATGTCTATTTCTTCATTTTCCTTCCTTTGTCGAGCAGACAAGCACAAACAATTTTTAAGAGTCATCTTAAAATTGAAACAACGGATGTTAAAGCAATGTCAGAATAAAAAAAAAAATGATAATAAGGAGCAAAACGATAAATTATAATCATGCTCTTGGAATTATTTACAAGAGAAAATTGATCCTGTAATTAATTTCTCGATATAGCATCAGATTGAAAGTTAAGTAAATAGCTCGCTTTGATTTTAAAATAGTTATTTTCTAGAGAGTTAGGTTCAAACTTATTTGAATATTTGAAGTATTCCATTACTGATCTAGTTCAGTCTTTCCTGTGTGTTGCAATGAACTGAAATGTTGGTAAATGTGTTTGTTTAGAATCCGAAGATAATAATTTATTACAAATAGTTCACGATTTGCTACTTTTTTTTCAAAGTAAGCATAATGTAAACAGTTGATACTTTTTCTAAACTATTAACTTTACTCTGAATTGACATTCTTTATTTTGTTTCGTTCTGTCACAACCTGTGACTTCAAAAAAGATTGATATCTATCATGTATTCTAACAACATACATAATTCAGTGTTGATTTATCAAATTTATATTTTATTTATGAATTGGGCAATTATGCAAAAATATGTCTGTTTCTATTGTCAAAGAGTCTACAATGCAATTTTATTGAAATAAATTACTGCAGTTTTTTAAAATTAATTGTACATACCATTATATTTAAGGTGTGTATTAAGCTATAAGATTATCTTTAATCTAATCTAACGTTAATTTTAACGTTAATCATGAAAGATAGGAGCGCAATAAGCTGCGTACATGTTATTAGTAAATTATACACAATGCTTGCATTATGTACTACTATAATTATGATTTATATTATATATAATCTGTAAAAATTTAGCCAAAATTAATTAAACTATTAATTGGTTTTTCTAAAAATATTGCTTCTGTTGTAGTGTGAGAGATGTGCCAAATTTATGAAAATTAATTTTATATAAAATAAAGTTTAAATGAAAAATCTATACAAGACTCATGACTCAGTATAAAGTAATTCAATTCTTCAAGTTTCACTTCTCCATTTGTCTTTCAGAACATAAAGTAACAAGTTTTAGAACTTAACAAAAATGTGTAAAAACAGTTTCTAATAATGTATATTAAAAAATGTGATATTAGATTTCTCTTTATTAAACCTATTCAAATTTCTATAACCTATTCAAAATAACAAAAACTTTGGAAAAATACATTTCCAAATAATATTTTGCTGAATATTCAGTTACATCCCTGCTTATAATTAAATTTTTAATACTATTAACCTATAAATTTAAAAAGTAATGCCAAAAGTGACTGCGAGTTATATCTTTCTTGCTTGTCCATTTTTATTTTAGTTATTCATTTATTGTATTTCCTCACATTCCGGTGCCCATTTGTCTCCATAATTATTGGAAACTTTTTCAGATGGAAAACTGTTATAAAAATATTTTGTGTTGTAATAAAAAAATGTTTTCCTATTCTGATTATATTTAGAAAATTGATTTTAACATTTGAATTTAATGATTTAATATTTATTTAAAATAGGTTTTTATTTTGGAAAAATAGCTTTATTGGTTTAAAAAATGTTTAAAAAAAAAGTCGTATTTTAACCTGTAGTCTTCTCCGCATAGCAGAAGCGTTTTCCCATGTACTTCAATGGAGAAATAGTGTATAGGTGAGATGCATTCTCCCCATTTTGCCCTTTCGCTAACCACCAGTGGGTTAAGTTTAAGTTGCTTTGATGTGATATTATTTTAATGAATGTGTATTTTTGGCATTTTGTTGCCAGTAACCAGGGTTGGAGTTTTTGCCGGCAAAAAGGATTTTTTGCCAGGACAGTGGCAAAAACTTGGTAAAAACTGGCAAAAACCAAATTATCTAAATTGCTGATTAAATATTATTACAAAATACTTGAAACAAATTTAAATCAATCATAAGAAATAATAATTTTGATACATTATATGAAAAAGATTATTTTTAACATATTAATAATTAATACAAGGGTAATAATTTTTAAAAGATTGAAAGTTTTTGATCTCTTTTCATTTTAGAATCCTAAAATAAATGTTTTTTTACAAATAAATAAATATTATTATTTGTATAATATTATTATTTATTATAAAAAATTATTATTTGTACAATAATTAACTACACATGTTGATAGATATTTTATGCTTTAAATTATAGTTATATTAATTTAAAATAAGTTCATTTCACTGGAAAAAAGAGAATAATCACAAATTTTCCAATCAATAATGTTTTAAACTACTAAAATGATATATTATTACATTACGATTTAATTATGGAATAATAATGTTGGTAATTTTTTTGTAATTATTTATATTTACAGTATATATTTCAATTTCAGGAATAATTTTGTATCAAAAATGTGTTTTTTTCCTCTCATCTTGAAAAATATAAGTTTTTGCCAATTTGCTTGGCAAAAACCTGTTTTTGCCAGGATGGTTTTTACTGGTATTTACCATGGTTTTTTCCACCTGCAGTAAAATCTTGCCAACCCTGCCAGTAACATAATTCAAAATGTAATGTTGACTTACCTATTGTTTTGTAATTTTGAATTTTTTTATTGTTTTTTATTTTTCTGAAGGCATTTGTTTATTTGTAATTTAATACTTTATTTTCGATTAATTTAAATCTTGGTTGGAAAACATTTTTAAGGGCACAGACTTACTGAAAATAATTTATTTTAATGATAAATGTATTCTTAATTTTTGTTAGATTAAAATTATTAATCAAGAGGTTCTAATATTTATTTGGCTTGTTTCAGTTTCAATAATGGCTGATGATTATGAACCTGACGAGTAAGTAGTTTTAACTTTTCTGTTAAAATTTTTTATCATGTTTTGTAAGTACAGGGATTTTTAATTTTCATTTCAAAAAGTGAAATTATAAATCTAATGCATTTAAAGCCTATTTTATTAATTTTTCTTATAGAGAGTATGGTTATTTTTTATCTGTGGATATTATCTCTTGTATCTCATTCTTTAAAAATCTCCTTAACAAATGTATTGTTAATAGAATCTGTAGTCTTTGGAATACCTTTCATATTTTCAACATGATTATTTGAATTTGATTTACTTGTACATTTAGTTTAAATCTTTTCAAATTATTATCAATTTTTAATTTAATTGCATGTTTACTGTCAATTGTCAAAAAAGAAGTTATGTTTGAAAAATTGTTTTATAGGATAGCTTTTATTGCTCAAAAAGTTTGTATTTGTCCTTCTACTTTGAAGCATTCTGCTTCTTAAATAATTTGTTTTTGTTGTATATGCAGAGTACCTTCATATATTTATTTAAAAAGAAATTTTTCTTTTCTTGCACTGTTCTTATATTTCTAGTAAAAAATTAATTTTGTTTCAGTGGGTCGAAACACTCGATCTGTAATTTTCTCTATAGATGATAGATTCTTCACAAATTCTTTTCTAATCTATATACTTTTAATAGATATCAAATTTTATAATATTATTTATTAAGCAATTTTACCATTTTTTTCAAATTTGCTTTCATATTTGTAATGACAAAATCATACATTGGAAGTTTTTACCATTTTAGAACAGGCTAGAATATAAGAAAAAGCAATCAAATACTGCTGCAAGTTTGATTACAATACGAATTTCAGTTCTCTGATGTCTGTAACAAACAAAAGAAATAACAATTAAGTAAATGATATACAAAATTTATCATTTATTTAAATTGAGCTTATAGTTAATTAAAATTTTGGCCACTTTTCTAATAGAGTTTGAATTTAAATTACATCTATATACTGTACTGGGTTCAATTTACTCCTGCAAAATTTATGGTCAGTTGAATTTTGAACTGCTTTTTAAATAACTAGAGTGCTTAGTGTATCTGTTAGACATTTTAGAAACTTTTGCTCTTTAGGACTTCCAAATTTCTGGGTCCTTATTTATTTTATTACAAGTTAGTCTCTATTTAAAATATGAAATCTACCTCTTTTTCAATGTATGAATATGCTTATTCATTGGTATTTATCAGTTGATAGAAAAAGCGTAGTTAGAAAACAGTTAGGATATTATAGCTATCAAGGTTTTTAATTAGGACAATGAAACATCAAGGAAAGGCAACAATGATATCCGATGTTCAGAATAATTCTAATTTCACAATCAGCTATTAATAAATTAAAATTCTAATGAATGTATATATACAGTGCCACAAGTGCCCAGAAAGGCACTCTTACTCTTAGTTTTGGTGTGTATTGGAGAAAAAGAAGAGGCACATTTTTCAAGCTAAAAACTGTTTACTTTTAAAACCTACAAAAAAAAAAGTGAAGTATAACAGTATAATAATAAAAAAAAAATTGTTAGTCACAATCAGAGCCCTCTTCATCTGACGTAATGTCATATTCCGAAGTTTCTAAACCCCAAAAATGAAGGAAAAATCAATCTAATTCATTCTCAGACATATTTGAAAATAGAAACTTTTAGTACACATAGGGACAAGAGCAGAAGCGGAACGAAAATAAAAAAGCATATACTACCCAAAAGAAACACAACCAGTACAGCTGTCATTTACTTTCCTCAAACTTCCCTTTTGCTCCACCCCTCTTGCCCTGAAATCCTTTGAAGTCACTCTCAAGGTCATTCTATTGCACTCCAATGCTGTGGGAGTAGTTTTACTGATTGCAGCGCATCGCAAATCACATTGCATACTTTGGAGAGGCTTATATATGTGCCAGGGGCAGTTAACCCATTGATTTGGCAAAGTGTATATATATATGTATGCCTATTGCAGGCAATGCAAAATTTTTTTCAAAACAGTGGATTAAAATATTATTTTTGCCCTACGTTTCATTTTCTTATAAATAATCTAGTATGTAGGCCCCGTGGCAGAAACACAGCGACATTGTCGCAGAAAGCGACTGATTTCTTGCAAAAAGATTTTTTTTTATTTGGGAAATGAAAATTTTTGGTTTGCCACAAACAAAAGTTCTCAAAAAAATTCTGCAGAAACAGAAGCTGTTTTACCAACAAAAAAAAAAAACATTTTCTTCAGAAACAAAAAATTTCTGCAGAAGCAATAATGGTTCTGCAAAAAAATTTTCTTACAGAATTGTTTTAAATGTTTTTTTTTCTAGCGTACCGCGGAAGGAGAAAGATATCTCACTATCTACGATTTTTTGGCATGCGAATGAAAACCAGATTGGTGGAAAATATTTACTGGTGAAACACTTTCAACCAGGTTTCCATATGCATGCGAAAAAAATCGCACCCAATGAGTATGGCTCTAATACCGATGTTTCAGTACTGATAAGGACTATTTCGTTTCGAGATGTTGAATAGACTTGAGCATATTGAGTCGGAAACCGCTTCTGCATACTTCGTGTGGAATCAATGCTATATATTTACAAAAAACAGTACGAAATCACAAGCGCTTTGTATTTTTTTTCGTTCTGAACTTAATCTGATCACGAAAAAAGCTTTATTTACCTCCTTTTTTTAAAAAAAAATCTTTCAATAAGTCAGTACAATATTAATCGAATCAAATTAATCTATAATTAATTAGATGTAGAAAAAATTGAAACAAACATTGCTTTAATTTTTTTGCTTTTAGAATTCGGTTATAGTCAAATCTATTTTATTACTTTGATTACTCAACTTCAGTATTGATTTTTTCACCTGATTTGTTTCTGTACCTGATATAACTACTATAATGAAACATTAAATCATACTGTTTTAAACTGTTTTAATAATTTAATTTTGATACTGTTTTAAACTGATACTTCAAATTCAGTTATCTTGTTTTATAACTTTAATCTTTTTGTTCATTCTTAGCTATTTCTATAAGTTCTATCTTATTACAGGTTCTGGGTAATCTTTATTTATGCTCTAGTAAGCATTTTTGTCTGCAGATCTATACATTTAAAACTTTTCGTTATTATCGAAGATTATGCAAATTTATACTTAAAAAATTTAAACTTATTAAGAAATGAAAACTTATATTATGAAATTAAGAAAAAAAAATCTACACAGTTTTATTCTATGCATGTAGACTTATTTTATAAACACGAATTTCATCTATTATTATAAATTCATTACAAATACATTTATAACGATAAAAATATCTTGCAGAAAGATATTGGTTCTAGTTAGGTTTGTCGCAGAAAGTCAGAAAAAATTCTGCCACAGGGTATGTAGGTATTGGATTTTTCTATAAAGTATCCTGATTATTTTGAACCACTACAAAGCATTGAAATAGTTTTGATTTTTTCACCAATCTTTAGAATGAATTGATGCTTCTTTATTTTTAGAAATGTTCTTGTATTTTAAAAACCTAATTTTTTTACTTTAAAATTTAATAATTTAATGTATTACTATTTCTCAGCCCTGTTGGTGATGATTATGATGATGCAGAACCAGAAGATGAAGCTTTGGATGAAATTGAACAAACAGAAGTAATTGTTTAATAGTTTTTTAGTTTCATTTTCAACTCTGTTTCATAATTTTCCCATATTTTAAATAACCATATTTTTACTTAAAGAAATGGCAATGATTTATTGTAATATTTTGATAGTTAAACATTTAATTGAAAACCGACTAATTCAATCAACCATTTTGATCATGCATAGTTCTTTATTCTATCATTATTTTTTTATGTATCATTATGCTTTTGATTTTTTTTAGTATTGAATTTATTTTTAAATCTTTAAAAGAATGTTTTTTGGTCCGGATAAAAAAAATTTCAAAAAAGCTTGCAGTTCCCCTCATTTTAATTTTACTTTCTTTATTTAAAATGTATTACTGAAAAAAAATTCTTTGATTTTCAAGTTTTTTCCCTTTTTTTAGATAATGTTTTTTATCTATAAACAATTGTACATTAAAAATATAGAATATCTGTTGTTCATTTTGCTGTTTATAAAATATAGATTAGTTATTTTAATATATGGCAGACAATCATGTTAAATGCCTTGATTTTCTATTTTAAAATGATAAATTTTGGGTGATAAAAGTTCATTTACAGTCACATACAATGACCCCTGTTGATAAACAGGGTCATTTAATGTTGTTGATATGTTGAGATTGCTATATTGTAATTGTAAAAAGTAATGCAAATTTTTACTCAGAATTAGAATACTTGATACATTTTGAAAAATTGATGGTGCAAAATATATATACTTATGTTTTCAGATAATTAAAAAACAACATTACTAGTTTTATTTAGGTAATCTAAAAGAAAATATTGTAAATATTTATTAACAGAAGTATACATTATGTAAGGAATTAATAAAACAATCACTGCAATTGAGGTTAGTGGTCATTCTAAAATTGGTTGTTTATTTGCCCATAAGCAGAATATTTTCAAATGTTCTGCAGCAGGACTTATTTATGCAAATGTTCTGCAAGAATTTCCCAGCAAAAAAAGTCCAACTTTACGTTAAAATACTATATTTTCATTTATTAAAGTACAGGATCATACACAGATACACTACATTATTTTTTAAATTCTAGATTTGCTACTTTTTCAATCACTTTTGAAGTACAAAATTTTGTTAAGGATGATGATGATGATGAATTATTAATAAAATGTCTATGATATGAAGGTCCGAGCATTAAAATAAGGGCTGCATTAAAAATCTTTCGAAGGAACAAGTGCCCAAATACTGCACCATTTGCAAACACAAACATTCGCTGGTCTGTTGCTCCAACAACTTCTTCATCTCCATCATGATCTTTTAGAAACAATTCTGTCAATCGTGGATCCCCATGATTCACAAATTTCTTCTGAAATGGGAATGGAAAATATAAAAGTCATAAACTTTATGAAATTGGAAATCTCGAAATTTAATTCTTTTACGGCTTGCTTTAGAAGCTCTCTTGATAAAAATGGTGATCGATTTCTCCTGCTGTCTGCTGAAAACTGATACACCCATTTTAGAAAAATGTTATAGCCAAAAGCTAACTCATTAATTTCCTCCTCAGAATGGCAAAGATATGGGAGAGGTAGATTACTGATAAATGTGCTGAAATTTGTGCAGGGTGTCAAATGTTCCTCTTCTAAAGCAACACCATTCCTGGAAACAGCAGCTAAAGAGAATTTTATTCAAGATACAAATTGTTCTGCAGGACTTCGTTTGTTCTGCGATGTACGTCACAGTTTTAGGCACTTTCTGCTTCTGGGTTTATTTGTAATAATAAATATCTAGTATTTTCAAATGTTATTTGCTCCTTTTTTCATTCAACCGTACAGGAACTGTAAAATTATTTAAACTATAAATGAATCTGAAATAATCATTGATAGAACCTTATTTTGTTGGAGAATAAAGAAATTTATCTTCTGATGGAACTGTGATGTCTAATCAAAAATTAAGTATATGAAAATTAGTGCAACTTGAAGTTACTTTCAACCAATAGAAATTCAAAGAAAAGTTTCCTAACATAAATATATGATCAATGTACTTTTTGTTCCCTTTAAAGAGAAATTTTTAAAGATAGTAAATGTGTTCCTAAAAACCTATAAATGCATGCAGGATATGGTGCATATTTGGTCATTTTGGATCTTAAATGATGTAAAATGATCGATATTCTACTACTTTTTCATATCAATTCTTTACAACCAGAATTCTTTGTGTTAAACAGCAAGCAATGAAGAAATGTTGTTTTCCTATAAAAATGGTTACAAATTTGTCTTAATCACGATCTAAAATTTGAAAAGAAGAGGTGTTGCTATTTCTAAAGAAGAAAGTGCTTAAAACTATCGCAGACTTGACAAAGCATTTTACAAAAATGAGCTGACTGTTTTTTAGCTTTAAATTGTGTAATGAGTGATTAAATTATTTTAACTCACCGTCTTCATTCTTATTTGAATATTAAAATTTACTTTAGTTGTAATATAATTAAGGACTTATTTTATTTAAATAATATGCAACAAATGCTTTAGTCAAAAATTTAAAGTAAGAAAAGTTATTGATAGTTTTCTAGATTATTTGGGTAAAATATTGAATTTTTCCCATGGTAACATTAAAAAAAAAAAATTCGAAGGAGCGAAGTTAAAATAGTGCAAATTATTAGATTTTTATAATAAAATTTTTTCCCTGCTACTAACTTATTTTAAATTTATGTTAACTTTAAGCAGCTTTTTTTAGTTGGAAATAAAAGTAGATCTAACTCCTATAAAAGAATTATATCTCTAATGTTCTGACACAAGACTTGATAATTACAAGCGTTCTATAAGTATTCATCAAAAGTAAACAATCAACTCACTCGAAAGTTATTACTATTTTTTAAAAAACCCATTTAAAATGACATTTTTGAACCAAAACTGCAGTAAATAATAACAGTAAGCGAATAAATAAAAACAGAACTATATTCAGTTAAAAAATTTTAAATTATGTATAAATGCCCTCATCACTAAACAAAAAAATATTAAGTGTGATCAAATGGGTGGTCTCATCATAGTTTTATCATATTCAGAGCGGCGAGTACTATCGCACAAAAAGAAGAATTAGAATAATTAGAAAAAAACTTAATAATTAGAGTAAAGGGATAATTTGAAAAGATTTGTTATCTGAGCATTACTTTTATTCCTAATTGTCAAGATAACTGGAAAAATGCTGATATTAGTTAATTTTTGTAATTAATTAAACATTGAAATTAGGGGAGCAGATCTTATATTCCATCATTTGCTTGAAATATATATTTTAAGAAGGGATAAGACTGTCTGTGACATACATGACAGTTTTGAGCACTTCTTAAACTTACTTGTACACATTTTATAGTTTTAAATATCTTTAAATGTTTATAAAAGTATAACTAAATTGATTTCTGTTTCAGGAAGATAATATAGAGCTACTATCTGCTCCTGAACATCAGCCACAGCTGAATCAAAAGCGCATCACAACTCCTTACATGACAAAATATGAAAGGGCGAGAGTCCTAGGGACTCGAGCACTACAAATTGCGTAATTATGTTTTCTTCTTCATATTTTTTTATTTATATCATGCATACATATGTATATATATATTTCAAAATTATTGAGCTGCATTACAGTAGAACCCCAATTGTCAAACTTCCGATCTTACGACACTTCAGTTATCCAGCACTTTTTTAGGCGCTTGTCAGAAAGGTTCTGACAAATATTTCATCACTTTTACAGTTTGTGTTATCAAATTATTGTTGTGACAACAAATCCAAAATATGGCTGTTAAATCATAAATTTTTCATGATATTATACCTTGATATATAATAGAAAAATAATCATAAATGTTTCTTTTTAAAAAAAAAAGTCTTTTGAGTAGTTTTACTCATAGTTTATGCATTAAAGCACTGACTATTGATCCCCCATCCAATGATTTTGATTCTTTGAACTAACTTTGGTTCCAAGGTTATCAGTTAATTGGGGAGGGGGGGTATGATTTCATATAATATTATGATATATGATAGAAAAATAAACACTGATGTTTTGTTTTTTTAAATAAAACCATTGCTACTTTTTGAGTAGTTTTACCCATAGTTCAAAGTTTATACATTCAAACACTCAAGGTCTCCCAATCATCCGTTGATTTCGATTTTCTGACGTACCTGGTTCAAAGGCTGTCAATTAATAAGACTGTTTCAAATAAATCTTTAAAATATGTTTTTCTTTCGAGAAAATTTAAATTTTTATGTGTTTTATAATTAATTAAGGACATTTCCTGTACACATCTACAACTTGTTGAATTTGTATGTTTTTCTCTCAGGAGCAAAATTATATTTTTATAAAAAGCTTTTTTGTTTATTACAAATGTTCTGTGAGTATTTTCAAAATTAAAAACTCTTTATATTATATTAAAATCGTTAAATTTTTTTAAAAATAACATAGTTTTATTTGTCATTTTATTTTGTGACCAGTGTTGAATAACCGATCCAATTCTGAGTGTACTACTATCAATATTCGACCACTTAGCTTAGTAATTTTGAACCCAACCCAGGAGACAGGAGAACTCCTGGATCAAGTATTGTGACAAACTAGCCCTGGTGGAAGACTTTTTGATGAAACTCGTATTTGTGTTAGATGGTGAGGAAAACCACAAAAGCTTCCTACTCTTAGCCTAATGACTAAGGATTCTAACTTATGATCCATCTCTCACTGAGGATATTTTATATCAGCACTGTGGTTGGTATGAACTCTGTGCTGAATTTGTTTCAAACAGCCATCACTGGAATTCCAACCCGGGTTGCCTAGATGGAAGATGAGCGCTCTATCCCCTGAGTCACTACGGCTCTTTATTTGTCATTTAAGAAAATTAAACTGGTATGATAATTTAAACTGAATTTGAAAAAAAAAGGTGAATGAATTAGTAAGATATGAATAAATTCCTAATCAAAAAAAAATTTAACAGCATATAAAATTTTTATAATTTGGACAAAAAAATATTTTCTGCCTCAAAAGTGATGCAATTAATTCTGTTCTAAACATAATGTGTACTACAGGGACTTTTAATTGTTCTGTGACTGCTTTAGACATAAATTTTTTTGTTGCGTAAATTGTTCTACTCTAAAAATAAATCATACTGCAAGGAAGTAGATTAATATACTAGATGTATTAGATAAATTGTTCTGCAACTATGTGACAGTTTTTCACATTCCTTGTTTTAGGTCTTTTTTTCTTCTTTATTAGAAAATTTTAAATAACCTGTATTGGAATGATATAAAATAAACTACGATTTGTTGAAATTGTTTATTTTTATGTTATAATAGATTTTTGAATAATTTATATACTTTTGAAATTTTTAATTTCTGCATAGGTCTATTTCTATATTACTTTACTTATATGACTTATTTATAATTCTTTTGTGTTTATAGAATGCATGCTCCTGTGATGGTAGAATTAGATGGAGAAACGGATCCCTTGCAATTAGCTATGAAGGAATTAAAGTGAGTTGTTTGGGTCACTAAATATAAAAATAAGACGAAAAATTCATTTTAACTTACTTTGTATTCAATTCAGTTTTTTTTTTTTTTTTTTTNTTTTTTTTTTTTTTTTTTTTTTTTTTTTTTTTTTTTTTTTTTTTTTTTTTTTTTTTTTTGAAATTTATTTTTCAACTTAATAGTACTTAAAAATTTTCTATATGTAATACTGTGTGCCATTTAATGTGCTCATATCAGTACCTGCAGTTTTTGTTAATAGTGAATAGTTCTCAGCTAACTGGATATCTTCTTAACATATGAAATTAGATAATGATTTATAAATCTTTTATGGGATAATGAGTATTTATTATAAAAAGGCTTTCTGAAACCAATTTATGTAAAGAAATATCATTAAATTTTTAATTAAAAAGTTTTAACTAAAGTGAATGAAGCTGTTTTAATTCAAATTTAATGCTAGTATGGTTTGAGTGACATATTAAAGTCTCATTTCTTTATTGATTCTTTAGTGCTGGTAAATGTGAAAGAAAACCTTTGCTGTTGCTTTTTAAGTATCATTCATTTTTATTTCTAAGAAATGCCCTTTTATTCAACTTTACCCACATATATTTGCGCTTGATCCTTCATTTTAACATTTCTCCCAAACCTCAAAAACAAAAATTATTAAAATAATTTAGTTATTTGAGTGGGGGTGAGACAGTAGAACTCAAGAACAACTTTTAAAAACAAACGAATTCTTAGAAAACTGTTACATAAAATTGCTGCTGATTATTTTTGACCCTCCAACTAAAGACTCTTATTTCAATTTTGATGATAAAAAAAAAACTTTTATATCTATAGCCGTTACAGGTTCTTGTACCACACAGCATGTGCTTTTGTTGAAAGCTTACTGTAGTGTTTTCCCTGGTTAATAATTTTTGTTTTACCCTCTAATTTCTTTGCTTTTAGAAAGCTTAGTGAGTGCTTATTCAATACACAAAAGTACTTCTTTTTTTGCTTGGTTTACTCCTTAAAAATATAAAATTTTAATATTTTGTCCTACAAAAATAGTTTTTTTCCTTTCCAGTATTATATGTATATTTATACCATTAATATTATAGTACATTTTAATATTAATAGAATTTCTAATTAGTACTATGCCTTTTTTTAAAAAAAGGAAAAGATGAAAAAAATATAAAAATTTATACTTCGGGATAAAAAAAAAATTTCATGTAAATTTTACTTATTTTTAGTTGTTTGTCAATGGTTTTGCATTAATTATTGTTTTCAGTTTTTTTTTCTCCATTTAATAAAAACACTTTATGTTTATCAAATAGGTTCAATTTTATTTTATTTTACAATTTATCTCAATGTACTTTTTATCCTTTTTATTACATTGAGCTGGTTTCTTTCTTATAGATTAAATGGGATTTAGATTTTTCTGTTACTTATTTTCATTAATAATTTTTTCTAATGCATTTCAGGGTAAGAAAGATTCCGATCATCATCCGACGTTATTTACCTGATGGTAGTTATGAGGATTGGGGTGTAGACGAGTTGATGATCACAGAATAAAGATCAGCGAATTGGCATAATCATTACGTTATTCATTTTGTACATAAGTTATTCTCTTCATGTTTAATAAAAAAAAATTTAAACAAGTATTTTTCAGTGTTTTTATTTTTGTTAAACATAATCAAACACTTATTTTAAAATTCTTGTATTAAATTGTTGGAGCCAATGTTTTGAGTGTTGATTTTAATGTTATAATATTTTTTGCTGCGTAAAAACTTGAAAATAATTAAGTGTGCAGAATACACACCTTGTACAATAGAATTTTTTTTTTTTTTAAATGTACAGTGCAACCTGTAAAAGTGACCACCTGGGTAAAGTGAGAATCTGAGTAAGGTGACCATTTTCTGCAAGTTTTATTTAAAGAGTCCTTTTTAAAGACTCTTCATAAAGTGACCACCTCTATATAGTGGCCATTTGACTTGGTCCCGAGGGTGGTCAATTTAGACAGGTTCCACTGCAATTAGTTTGAGAATTATTACTTGTATTGAGAAAAACCATCTGCTTCCTGGAAAAAAATAATGGAGTTAAAATTTGACATGCTGTTTAGAATTATATAGTGATACTTTCAAAAAATTATATTGATATTGCAAAATTAACATGGAGAAATGTACTATTTTTTAATTTGCATCATCGTAAATTATATATTGATTTGCTTGAGCAGGTTTTATAAGGTTGATTTATTTATTGTTACAAGTTTTTCTGCTTTTTGTTACTTATGAAACATAAATTTGTATTTGTCTTTATTCTCAATGATGTTGTGGTTTTAGAATTGGAAAAATAATCAAAGTCATATAATGCTAGTTAAAATGTATTTTGCAATATTTTAATTGCAGATTCTTAAATTAATATTCTTTCTTAATGCTTATGAGTTCTTAAACAGTTTTTTAATAGTTATAAAATTTTGAAAAAAGCTGTGTATTGAAGTTGTTTTGACTTTATTTTTTTTAATTTTGTATATTTAAATGTAAAAGATTTTGCATATTTTTCTGTTTGATGATTTATAAGTTAAATCATGGATTATTTTAATTCATATCTATGCTTTTATAGTATTTGTATTTCTTTTTATCTGTAATTAAGTTTTTAATAGCTGAATAGCTACCATTTTTTTTCATTTTCTTAATCCAATTCTTTGGAGTGATAGCAATATAAAAATGATTTTATATTTGTAACCAAAAATATTGTTTACAACATTTAAGACTTTCATACCTTTATTTAAATTATTTGTCTTTATAAAGGGTATTTATTTAAATTCAATAACACAATGTGTGTTGAAATCCAATAATTAAATCCTTTTTTAAAATCCAATATTGCGATTCATATTCACCTGATTTTTAAATCCAATATCGCTATTTTAATTCACCCGATTTTTAAATCCAATATCACGATTCTCATGAGAAGTAAGTTTTTTATTGAATTAATTACTGTAAAGGTGTGATATTCTTTGTTAGTAGGTTATTTAATTATAAATGCTAGTTCAAAAAATTATGTTAAATATGAAACACGATTGGTATTTAAATTGATTTATAAATTTTTAACACATAATTTTTTTCAGGGTTTTTCACTTAGTATCACTATTACCTTTGTTTATAAATCAATGTTGTTAACCAATATAAAAATATTAACATGTATATTATTGTTTTTACTGTTCCAGAAATAAATATACATCTCTTTCAAAAATCAGGTGATTTGGTAGTCATGTCTTAGTTAAATTGAGTAACTTTCAAAAGATCAAAAACAAATTTGTCAAAAAATATTTTTTATTTATATAAAATAACATTAGAACTATAAATACAATTTTCTATATTTTTTTTATAAAATTGGGAAAAAAATGAAACAATTGGTTTTACACATGCACTTATTAATTTACAATTGTTTAGATTATATTTCAAAGAAAAATTATATGTTAATGTCCAACTTAAATTTTTTCCCATTTGTGTCGGGAGAAGAAAAACATTTGAGTGTGTCCTATTGTTATTGAAATTTAACTTCTTATCTGAATTTAATTTCATTAACAAACAGATATTTTCAAAAACTTTTAACAAACATATAAAAGTGTAAAAGACGATTGTTTACAGCACATTAAAATAAAACATTAACAGTCATTTTTATCCCACATGTCCTTCCACTTTAACTTAAACTGTCTGCCACTTTAATGCTAGCACCGGTCATAATTTATCTTTTTATTTCTTGTTACTGTAATCTTTAACCAGTGATCTAGTTCATGTTTGTTGGACATATCACACTACAGTTCATGTTGCTTGTCCGTAAACAATTTCCGTCACTTGGAGACCTTTTTTTCTAGAACAATATGTTGGCAAAATTTGTTTTAGTTTTACGAGGCCGTTCGACCACCTGATACACTAGCACAATCGTCCACATTTTCGGGCCAATCACAGACATTTTCATTGGGGTTGAACACTAAGTTGACAGGACAAGGCATGTGATGTCTCCTTTTGCCTTCACACATATAATACTTGGCACATTCTTTTTTGTCCACATGGTAGCTGATATGGCCATCTTCCTCTTCGCAAACAACTTCATCTTTTTCTACAGATAAGAATAATTTATAAATTAAAATATATTTAGTTTCATGGAAAAAATTGTCTTAAAGCATACCATTTATGTATTTTGTGAATCGAGAAAGAAATTATCATAAAGAGCAATAAATGTTTTTTTATTTATCAGGTAAGAAATAACATAAAAAATTGGTCACTCTATTTGATATCCATTACTTAAAAAAAAAAAAAAAAAATTGTACCTTTATTTAAAAACCAAAAAGACAATCTTTTTTAGTTTGGGAAAAAAAAACTTTTTATGCAAATTATTGTTTTAGTATTATTTTTATTTATTTTTTTGATTGATCAAAAATAACCTGTTTTATAGAGCAAATTACGTTTAAAGCCAATATACATTTTCACAATATGAATGTAAAAATTCAGTGGCAGAAGTAAAACTTGACACTTTTAAACGAAAAAATTTTTAATTATACAAAATATGATAATATCTCTTCCATGGTATATTTTAATTATTACTGATGGTTAAATATTAATCCATCTATAAGTGATGAAAAATCATAAACTTAATCAAGATGTGGGCTTTTGACAGAGAATACAAAATTTTACTCTTACCTGTTCTTAGTTTCAAATAAATAAATGAAATATTATCAAAGATTTAATAATTGAAAATTATATAATATTTACCTAATAATGAGTTCAAAATATTACTGCTCAGAACTTCTAGCTTTGCAATATTGTATCCCTTAAGTTCTTCTTTAATTGTATTTATCAGAGGGTATTTCAAGCCCATGCACGATCCTCTAAAGTCATCCATATCTATTGACCATAGCATCACTCCACCATATCCAGCTTCTTTCAGCCACTGAACCTGCAATCACCATTTTTTTTAAATATAATGATAAGTTATGATAATTTATTTATATTTCTTATGAAATTAAATCTTTTTTTTTTTTTACCTTTGTTTTCAAGCTTCTTTGGTCATCAAAGCCTACCCATTGGTTGCCTTTGTAAGCATAGGGAACCATTTGTTCATTGTCCCAAACCAAAATTGCACCAGATTTCAGGAAATCACAGACCTATGAGTAAAACAAAAGAAAAGTAGATTTGGAATAATATATTTGTTGAAGAATGTTTCTGATTAAAAGATGTTTACATTAAATATGCAATTGACTTTTCAAAAATTGTCTTTCAACATTTGAATTAAATAATTTAATTATAAATTAAATTTTTTGATTTCAATAATAAATAATTTAGTGCATGAATCATTTAAATTAAAAATAATTTCGAATAAATGAAATTTGAAAATAAGTTACTTTGTTTTATTGAGATATTTTATATAATTAATTTTATAAATGTTTCACAAGTTTTTAACGAAACAAAAATATAATCCCCTTTTCAAGTTGCCAAATTTGATATTTCCTGAAAAGATTTTTTTCTCCCTCTTGTTATAGTTATATAGCTACGGAATGTCCCCTGTTTACTGGGTGAGATTTTATTTTTAAAGTGGTTGCAAAATATATTAAGCAGTTTTTTCTTTTTTTTAAATTTTGGTTTTACAGACTATAATGGTTTTGACAACCCCTAGTGATAAATAATTTAAATATATAAAAATATTTAGTGGTTTAAAAATTAAATCCTTCTTACAATTGTTGATTTAATTGTTACATCGTTACCACTATAAAGAATTTTATTAGAAAGCGTAAGGAACGGCAGCTATGCAATAAAAGAATATCTCACATGTTCTTAATTAAACTGAAAGCAAAGTAATTAAGGAAACAATTTTATTAAACTTTTAGGATTAAAAAAATTCAGTTATGTTATATGTTTAGGTGGAAAAAATACAAGTTTGTTCTATATAAGCTAAAAATACTATTGTTTTGTTCTATAAGTAGGCTTTGAATAATTTAGTTGTGTTCTACGTTTAGGCTTGAAATATTACAGTTTTGTTCTATGTTTGGACTTGAAATATTGGCAAATTTTAATGGTCATACGTTTATGACTATTAATTAGTCACACGTTTATGAATTGAATAAAGAGAAAATAATATGAAGTTTATTTACCTCGAAAAAGGCCAATACACCTGGCTCACCCGTGTAGTTACCGGATTTGCCTCCATCTATAGCAGGTGCACCGATGTCTGTTAATGAAGTATTTTTTAAAGTGAAAGATCTTCCATAGGTGGGAATGCCAATCAATAATTTTTCTTTGGAGGCTCCTTTTTCAACCCATTCTTTGGCACTGTAATCCTATGGAAAGAAAAAAGTCAATGTTAAATTACGAGCCATAAATAAATTGCAAATTTTTTTTAAAGACAGAAGCCTTAACTCGAAAAAGACCAGCTTCAAATATGAAAATGTCACACTTTGATTTAACAAGATGCTTGAATTAAATGCCTTCCCTTTGCAATTTTTTTTTTTGACTTAAGCATTTGCCACCTCGCCAAATGCGTTAAAATTGTTAATTTGGCAAATAAAATGCTGTTTTGGCGAATGATATTTTTCCTCTGGAAAGAAAAATATATGTAAAATTTTTTTACGAATTGCAGTTGGCGAAGACTTTCGAAAATTTGCGAATACTTTTGATATTAGGCTAATTTATTGGCTAATAATTTGGCCGAAGACTCCCTGAGTAATAAATGGTGACTGATGCACGTTAAATCTGTCGGGTCACAACGTTCTCCATGTTCCCATAACAAATTATATCTCTGGGGGTACTGAATTGGAAATAGATCGTACTCTGGTTCAGGCCAAAATTACGATTTGTGGATGATTGCATGGAATTATAAATGGATCCGGTCTATAAACGGGTTGTGAGAGATGTGTGGCAGAAGTCGTATTCTCTTCGTTTGGTTTCATCAAGCAAGCTTGATGATATTTGCAAGTGAGATTAGAAACAACAAGTACTACATGATTTGTCGTTTATATTATAGCTGTATTAGAACACAATTTGAAAAAAAAAAAAAAAAAAACAGATAATAGCAACTTACTACTGTGAGTTTCTTTTGGTAGCTGGTGGCACTAAAGAGAGCAAATAACGGGCTGTTGTGTCCAACTTGTCTTTCCCAGTTGCCATGGAAATCGTACGTCATGACATTCATCATATCCAAATAACTATACATAAACAGACATTTCAGTTATTTATATAATTTTATTATTGCTTTCGAAAAGAGTCTCAGAATTTGTCAATCAGAGCAGTCAATTCAAAAGATGTTTGAAAAATTAGATATTGTTTTCGACAAAGCAATGCAGATCAATTAAAAATACAGCTTTTTCCGTGTAAGACAAAGCGGGAAAAGATATTTGAGAAATGCATGAACCGATTTAAATGGGTAATTTTACTCCTATTACTAAATAATTTTACTAAAAAAAATAAATAAAAAAACAAAAAAAATGACAACGAAAAATCAAACAATAATTTTTCTAATTTGCAGTTATTTAAATCTAAGAGAAACAAATACTCCTGATTGAAATTTCTTTAATTTACAAAATCGATTACTGATAATCATTTGATATGAATAATAAAAAAAAAAAACTACTTTTTTTTAAATTTTATATTTTGTAGAACAAACCTAATTCCGATAATTTAACAGACTTTTTTACTAACTATAAGATTGTTTTTATAGTTGAAAAATACCAAAATATATTTTTACTTGTAGTTAGAGCGCCAGAAAAAAAAATGTATTAAGAGACTTCGGTGCCCCATTTGCATCAAAGGGTTATGAGGCAATAAGGTTAAATGGTTCACTGACTGATAAGTGACTGACAAATGCTGAAAAGAAATTTTCAAATTGAAAACAAGCTATGAGAGGATTACTTAGGATTATGTAGTGAGGAAGTTTTCTTCTAATAATTTGTTTGCATTTTATATTTTGAAGAAAAAAAAAACTTTTTTTTCAGCAATTAAAATTTTATGACTTATTCTAAGTTTGTCTGAACTCACATTTTCTATACTTTAAATTATTAATTAGTAATGGAGGGGAAATTTCTTCCACTTTCTAGCGTCCTCCTAACTTTGAAAGGTTTTGTGATTTTCTTCTGCATATAATACAAAGGCAAGTAAATTCCATAATAAAGGAACGAAAGCTGGTTTCCTTCAGAGTTGGGTACTGATTCAAATCTAATTTGAGTGGGTGATTTGAATCACAAACTTGCAACTGATTTGAATCATTCTACTGAACTGATTCTATTGATTCGAATCACTTGTAATGATTCGTTTTGTCCAACTCTAGTTTCCTTATCTTCTGAGTTAGGTTGAAAACTACAAAGCTAAGAGAAGTTTACTTTAAAACATGAAAGGGTGGAATCAGCTGCTCCCGCGTTATTTCCAATATATATACTTCATATGTGTGTGTGAGTGTATGTGTAACATAAAAAGCTGCAATTTATTTTTTTTATATTATATCTTTATTTAAATATTCTTTCTTATTTAATATTCTAAACTAAAAGCTCTTTCTCACACTTTATTTCCATCCTATCTTTCAATCTATTTTTGGCTTCAAGTTATGCATTAAATAAAATTTTTTATTTCCCCCTTCTTTTTTTTTTGAGCCGTGAGAAATACCAGGGGTCTGTCCAGACATTTTGTGAAGGGTCCGGTTTTCGTGAAATTGTGAAAAAATTACTCACATTCTTTCAACCAGGGTCCGCTTTTATGAATTTGTGCAAATTGGGTCCGTTATTGCAAAAATATTTTTTCAAGGAGTTTTTAAATTGTAAAGACATACGAGAATTATGCTCAACACTGCAAAATTATAATTTAAAAAAATTAATTTTAAAAAATAAACAGCAAATGCAGCTACTAAATTAGCGATGCAACATACAAATATTTGGTATTTAAACAATACTGCTGAACGCCGAATATTCATTTCGGGAAGAATGGTCTGCCGAAGACAAAACTTAATTCGTTTACATCCATCTTTCTTGTTTTCTGCCCTGGAAAGGGTTTATTCGATTAACAAAATAATAATGAAGATAAACAAATTTGTGAAGGGTCCGATTAAAAGAAAAATCATTTTGTGAAGGGTCCGTTTTTAAGTTAAAATATTTTGTGAAGGGTCCGTTTTTATGAAAAGATATTTTGTGAAGGGTCCGTTAACGGACCCAAATTTCTTCTAAACGGACCCCTGAATACTTTTTCCCTCGACCTATTTTATAGACCAATTATAATTATTACGATTTCCCTTTTTTCTGAAAACGAAGCATCTTTACTGATCTATTATTTATTTTGCGAGATTTTCCCTAACTTTTAAATTGAGGAGCACTACGATTTTGTGTCACTTGGATGCTAGCTCTTCATGACTATGTCTAAAAAAATAATATTTACTTATAGCCTGGTGCCTGAAACCTGCTTATTTCCACCTCTCGTTGAAGTTCTGATATTATATATATATATATATATATATATATATATATTTTAAACTTGGACCAGATCATAGCGTTTAAAGTTAATTAAAATTGGTATGAGGATACGTTTTAGTAGAACAATCATTCTGAGAATTTTAGCTGCTTAAAATAAAAAATAAAAAAATTTCTTCGTTCAAACAAAAAGTGTTTTGATCCAATCAAATAAATATGATAACTTTACTTATTTATTTCTTGGACATCATAACCTGCTGCTACGGCTTCAAAACTTGCTGGTACTGCTGCAGTAAGCAGTAATCGAGGTTTCTCAGCTGCTTTCGCTTCTCCAACAAAAGCTTCATATAGATCCTGCAGTAAGAGAGAATTAATTATTATGAGTAATGTTTGTTTAAGTCAAAACATCTCTGTTATGTTACAAAATCACAAGCACTACCAATGACATTTTGAATATTCAACCTAACGTTTTACATATTTTTTTTGTGGAAAAATTATAAGACTTAGAGACTTTAAATTTTTGATTCGGCCTTATTTTCTGAACATTTTTCTACACACCATCCTAATTTCATATACGATAGTTAATTCGGGAATTATTAACTTAACTATCATTGAGACGTGCAAAAGCTACCATGGAGACGTGCTGAAGGCTACAGAAATACAACGACTAGAAGTGAGATTTCCTGCGCTGAAAGGATTGATAATCTTAACTCGAAATTTTTATGTATTTATTTATTGAAATTCCAATTGGTTTGAAAGTTATTGTAATTTTAAATGCCTTTTTTACGAATTTTTTCTAACTTTTTTTTTGCTTTAAGTTACAGTTTGCATGGTACATAAAAAAATAATTCAGTTAAAAAATAATTAAGTACAGTTTGCATGGTTTCCATAAAAAAATAATTTTATTGGTTTTTGTTTAACATTATAGTTGTCTAACATTAAAACTAAAAATTATTTAAATCAAATAAATTATTTTAATCGATACCATAAAATCGGTTTAGTTGCTTAAATTAAAGTGAATTCTTTTCCTATTGACACGATTTTTTTTTGTCTAACCTTCCAATTTTTCTTATTAGTTTCTGAAAAATTTGTCTGTTACTCGTGTATATGTAATTTCTAATATTAAATAATCGGATTATCGGGTTATTCACTAAATGAAGTTTAAATGATATAATTTTCACTTATCATTACTCTTCTCATCTGTTGGCCAACATGATGGGAACTAGGCCACTTGTGAAATATAACCATCAGAATAGGGAAATTTGTCTGATAGCTGGGACAACTTAAATTCAAGGATTTGCAGGAAAAGGAGTTAAATTAAATGTAACAGAAACTCACCTTAATTAGATTAGAGAATTTTTCTTTATCTTCAGCTCCTCTGGGGAATTCCCAAGCTATATCCAGTCCGTCAAAGCCTTTCTGTCGCAAATATTCAATAGCGTTGAAAACGAAAAGGGATTGTCTAGAAAGAGGAAGAAAAAAAGCATTAGAATAATTCATGCCTTGACTTAGATGAGTCCATGAGAGCCACACTCCATGAGATTCGTGTTAAATAATCAAGTTAGATTCTGTTGTTATTGCTTACCCTCCTTGGTTTGGACAAACTAGACCAAGTCAAGGAGACCATGTCACACAATTAAATCAAAACTACACCCCCCTCATTCAGCAGCTGCCACACAGAGGTACCAATACAATCTAAGATATGAGAGGGAGAAGTGATGGCAGAACAACGGCAAGCAGCGTAAGTCTTCTTGTTTCCGTTAAAAATTAGACTCTTAATATGACCAGTCTTAAGTCTAGATAGAGTAGTCTCAGCAAGTCTTGGACAAGAGCATTGCAATGACAGCCCAGGGGACTCAGCGGCATACCAGGTATGTTCGTTTAGGGTCCTCCAAGTGGTGTTTATATTAGCCAAGATCAGGGAGCGAACCTCAGAAGTTCGCAGTTCGGTGGTGGGGAGTTCGCTAACCTTCATCAGCAAGCAAATCAGCAATTTCGTTTCCTTAAACCCCTACATGTGAAGGAATCAACTGTAAACATACTGTACCACCATGGGTCAAAGCAGGCAATTTTCGAATGGTATCCTGCTCCGATTTAACCAGGATATTAGGCTGATTCCTCAAGTACAGTTAGATAACCTCCAAATATACCTTGTAAATACCAAACTATCCATAAATGAATTTTATTTTGGTCACTAATTAAGTTTAATTTACATCACTCAATGCATGTTCCGGTGAGCATTAATTTATTTTTTTAACTTCTAATGAAAAAAAAACTGTCCTTTGTTGTACATTCCCTGTCTTAACTGTTACAAAATCCAGTACAAAACATAATTATAATAAAATGCTCAAATTAATTCTTTCTTTCTTCAAAGCTACTTTAAGTTTAAATAATCATGAAACATTTATTTTAATTAATGATAGAAACGGGGACTCGGAGCCGAAAAATCCGTGATGCTCCAACTTCGATTCCGAATAATAAGCTAGCTCAATCTTCACATCCAAATGATAAAACTATAGCTCTATCACCGTCAATTTTACTATAAATTTATGCGCGCTTCTGAGTTTCAGATTTTAATACGAAATTTTTATTATAAAAGGATACATTAAAAAAATAATGAGATATTATATAAAAATAGGTACATATAAAAATAAGATATAATCTAAAAATAGGTACATATAAAAATAAAATATAATCTAAAAATAAAAGTCCATAAAAAATAAGATATTCACTGTTGATTTACTGATTCATTTACGGTTGTTTAATTCACTGTTGATTTATTAGTTCACTCTTAAGAAAACACTTATAGCTAATTAAATTCTCATTCATTACTTGATCTGAATTGAGTCGCGAAATTTTTCCTCCCCATTGGCTATCGAATGTCTAGGGCTGACCGAATATTTAGGCTAAAGATTTGTCTTGTAAAATATTGTATTTCAAATCAAACTATCATCCATTTTCCCCCTAGAGTCAGAATTTAAGTGCAAAATAAGGGGAAAATATCAGGAAGCAACTTCGGCAAATCTGCAATCGAAAACCGAATGATTTACTCAGATTTTCAATGAACCATAAACTAACCTTAAAAAGTAGTATTTTAGTGTCGAAAAACGGTGGTATACAAAACATGAAGTGTTAATAGTATAGGAACATTTCTGATATTTTCTTATTTTAATGATATGTTGATGATGTTTGAATCATTGAAGTCTTACGGCAACCTTATTTTAAAAGCAAATTATTATTATTATTTTCTGTAATAAATAAATTTCATTTTCTTACATCATAGTTCATTTTCTTTTCTTTGGTCGTCAAAAAGTTCATCATACTACGCTTGTTAAAATTTTGAAAATTGATCTTGTTTTTGTGAAAAAAAGGGTGAGAAAAATTTCAGTTTGGCTAGTGCCTAAAGAGGGGAAATTTCATGACCTGTCTTGAATTATACTAAATGCAATTTAATGCCGAGAATAATTTTTCTATAACAACTTGGAGGCAACAATGCGGCAGGAATCTTTATTACTTGATTGTAGGATACGATGAAATGCATCAGACACAAATTACACTTTAGAACAATTTTTTCTTTTATGTTACAAGAGATTATTCTAACGGATCATGGAAATTTTCACGTCTCAGATTTTAAATTTGAAATCCGTTTTTTCTCTAAGCTACAGTTTCTTTTTTTAAAATGACACTTTTAGTCTAATTTTTGTCGAAATGTACAAGTTTAAAAACGTTATGTATAACAAGTTATCCCATAAATGTTGTGACCATCTTCTAGGGGAGTGAGTGCATATCATCAGAATTAAAACTGCACAGAAACATATCCCCGGAGTATTATCATGCAACGCTAGGGGTGCTTTTTCTATTCTGAACTGCTTATTCGTTCGCTTATCTACTATGACCCACTCATAAAACAGGTCAATGGTCGAGAAGCACCCCTAGCCGCATACGCCAACATTTCTGGGCAAGGCTACATATACAATTTTAAGTCTGATGATATGTTCTACTGCCCTTAGAAGTTTGTCGTAACATTCATACGATACCCTGAAATATATAGCGTTTTTAAGCTTGTACATGTCGAGAAAAAAATGGTCTAAAAATGACATTAAAGAAAACTGCAGTTTCAGGTTTGAAATCCCCATACCCAAATTAGACAAGTAAAAAGTGCAACAAAAAACTCGTTTCCGGAAATATTAAATCTTTTTATTGTAAGTCAGAAAAATTTAAGAGTCAGAAAAAAAAAGTTTCAATGACTATTGAAAAACTAAAACAGCACTGGAAGCATGGGAAAATGTAAAGCTCCAGTTCCAGGAAAAACATAGCTTCGAAGCAAATTAAAATAGTCAAGCAAAATAGTTAATCCAGTGTTCAAAATTTCATCCGCTTTGGATAATTAAATTAATAAATTAAGTTAAAGCAAAATATGTGTCGCAATATTCTAAAGGAGATTTATGTATTTGTTGAAAAAGTCATTTATAAATGAGCCAAAGGTACGAATTGTGTAAGAAAGCCTACAGCGATATTACTATAAATCTCTTCTAATTAATTGGATAATGAAAGGTTTTGACTTTGAAGGGAGTCACGCAATAACTTGGTCAGGTGCGCATGTTTGGAATATCAATCAAAATAATTATATACATATATTTTTATTTACGTGAAACATAAAGCTTTTTAAGAAGACCCTGGAGCGCAAACGATGAAACTGATGCATTTTTTTAAAAATTATACTACTTTGTTTAGGACGGATATTGTTCTAAATCATTTAACGAATCTCTTTAACAGTAATTCATAATAGTAATGTAATTAGCACCAAAAATAATTATTATAAAATGGCTAAATAAGATCAGACATCGATTTAAATAACTTTATCTTAAAATGTAACGTCGAACTACATTATTCTAATAATAATAAAAACTTCTTAAACTCTTCATTTGGAAATCAAACAAGATTAAAAAAGTAAGGAAAACAGTACAGGTAATTTTACCTTTAAATTAGGGAAATAATAATATTTATAGGAAAACAATAACTTTATGACTTATAACAATTTTATGCTGATGACAATCGAACCAAATAAAAATTAATGTGGAAAAACTGGATCATACCATGTGATTTTCCAGTCAATAAAAATGTATTGACAACAATGGAAAACTGCGACACCATTAGATGGTTGGTTGGTGTCGTGTCATGGACAGAAAATAATTTTAAACGTGTTCAAAGGTCCTATATACAACATCTGCAATTTGAAGGCAATTTTCTATATAAGTCCGCCCACGGATTGTCACTTTTTTGCTGCGATTGCGCCAGTATAGTGGGACAGTTGAAAAGATGTATGGGCGGTTAGTTCTATGTCTGGGCAATTTTTGCAGAAACAGTAAGTCCTTGTTCCGTCACCATGAATCTTCATCCCCCTAAAGTGTCCTGTCCGGAGTTTTGTTAGTGTGCTGGTGAAAGTTCTATTGGTACTGATTTCAGGTATTTGGTGGTTGATTTGGATTTTCCTGTCATTGAATTTTGCCTTAGTTACTGAATTGATATCGCTGAGAGTGACGTGAGTAACTTTGCTGGTGTTTAATTGTCTTGCCTATTCTGCCAAGGCATCAGCTATCTCGTTTTCAGTAATTCCAACATACACGGGAATCCACTGTATGGTGCAGTGTTTCTTCAATGCACCATGCAGGGGATTCCCGCTCATGTTGGCATTACACCATTAGATTTTTATATATAGTAAGAAATACCTAGTTATTCAATGAAATAACTGAATTATACACTTTAACGGTAACATACATACAATGTTAAGCATTTCTTACCTGTAACCAGATTTCGTTATCTGCTTGAAAGGTGCTGTTCCAGATATCCAACCTCCAACAGACAACAGCACTTTAAGTTTAGGGTTTTTCTCCTTCAGTCCCAAAATCCTGTCATAAAGTGATTTTTTAGCTGGAGGATTAGGAGTGTCTGCTCCGTCAATGGGCGACAAAGTATCATTTTTGATTGTGGAAAATGCAAAGATGACATGAGTGCATAGGAATGGGTCAATGTGTTCTGGCTGGAATTTTCCCTGTCCAGGCCGTTTCAGTGACCAGCTAGTGTAGTAGCAGGCCACTCTGGCATTTGTTGCATCTGGAAAACAATTCGAAAAACAATCATTCGTTGGATACAATCGTAAACATTTTCNTCTCCGAGATCTGTGGACACAGTGACGTCATGAGGAGGGAAATCGTAGCTTCAGCTCTAAGAGGGGAGTGAACTAGCCCTTCTATTCTCTTTAGCCCTGAGTTAACCAGATCAGTGAAAGCTGGGCTCTGCAGGGATAAGGATTGATAGAGCTCTTTACGAGCATTTTGATAAAAGAAGCACTCCAGGAGATAGTGTTCGTTCGTGTCTTTTAAAATGAGGGAAATAAAAATATTTATAGGAAAACGATAACTTTATGACTTATAACAATTTTATGCTGATGACAGCCAAACCAATATGAAAATTAATGTGGGAAAACTGGATCCTACCATGTGATTTTCCTATAAAAATGTATTGAGAACAATGGAGAACTGTGACGCCATTTGATTTTTATATATAGTAAGAAATACCTAGTTATTCTATGAAATAACTGAATTATACACTTTAACGGTAACATATACATACAGTGGTTAAGCATTTCTTACCTGTAACCAGATTTCGTTATCTGTTTGAAAGGTGCTGTGCCAGATATCCAACCTCCAACAGACAACAGCACTTTAAGTTTAGGATTTTTCTCCTTCAGTCCCAAAATTCTGTCATAAAGTGATTTTTTAGCTGGAGGATTAGGAGTGTCTGCTCCGTCAATGGGCGACAAAGTATCATTTTTGATTGTGGAAAATGCAAAGATGACATGAGTGCACAGGAATGGGTCAATGTGTTCTGGCTGGAATTTGCCCTGTCCAGGCCGTTTCAGTGACCAGCTAGTGTAGTAGCAGGCCACTCTGGCATTTGTTGCATCTGGAAAACAATTGGGAAACAATCATTCGTTGGATACAATCACAAACATTTTCGTTGCTGGAAGCACCGTTTCTGTAGGTTTCTAAACTGTGTTTCTCTGGAAAATTATGGACCTGACTTTTAAAAGCTTAATTTTGTAGAGCGAGTCATTTATTATTTTCCTGCACAGTGACAAAAGTTTGAGTTTCTATTGAAAAATTTTATACCGATGCAATTTTATTTTATTTCACTACTGAAGTCGAACAGCTGGATCCAATTCTGAGTTTACGACTATTAATGTTCAATTACGTATCCTTGTAATTTTGAATTTAAGCCAGAAGACAAAGAAACTCCTGGACATTGGGAGACTAACTAACCTTCGCAGATGACTTTTTGATGGAACTAACCCTCATTTGCGTTACATGGAGAGGAAAACCATGAAAATCTTCCACAGTTAACGGCAATGGGATTCTAACCCATGATCCGTCTACCACTGAGGATATTTTACGTCAGCACTCTGGTGTGAGCTGGGAGCAGAATTTGCATCAACCGGCCACATACCGAATCAATTTTATTTTATAACCGTCGTTGAACAGCCGACGCAATTTTGGGTTTACGACTACTAATGTTCAACTGCGTAGTCTTGCAATTTTGAACCCAATTCAGAAGACGAGGGAACTCCCGGATCAAGTATTGAGAGAAATTTGCCTTCGTGGAGGACTTTTTGATGGGATTAAACCTCATTTGTGTTACATGGAGAGGAAAACCACGAAAACCTCTCAGGGTTAGCCTAGCGGTAAAAGGACTCTAACCCATCATCAGTTTACCATTGAGGACATTTTTACGTCAGAACTGTGTGGCCGGGAGCGGTATTCGTATCGACCAGCTATCGTTGGGATTCGAACCCAGTTCGCCCCATTGGAAGGTGAACGCTCTATCCCCTGAACCACCACGGCTCATGCTGAGTCAAAGTCATGCCGGGTACGGGGGCTTGAGATTGAAAATCGCAATCATAATTGTCGATAGTTTCATTTTTCAAACTGCGAAAAATTCTGCAGTGGAAAATTTTACGCTGTTATCGTTTGTCTTTGGTATTAATGAGTATTTTTATCTCGGAAATATTTACTTGAAATAAAATATATTTTTATTTACGTGAAACNTTGCCTTTTTTCACTAACAAATAGAAAAAATTGCTATCGATATTTGCTGTTTTTTATGACAAATAGTCTATTGCGATTTCCTGACAAAATACCCGTCTTTAAAATATATTGTTATGATTCAAGTAACGAGTTATAGATCGAATTTGCAATGAAAATAATATTAAACACATGATGTATCTACCTGGATCAGCTTTTATTTCAACAGGTCCATCGAGATCAAGATCTTTATCTTTTCTTACATTGACTTCAGACAAAACGGGTGCTGGTGTAGGAGGTAACGATTTTCTCACTTTAATGGACAACGCCTCCAGGTCAGTAATAGGTCGCTTAGGATGTCCCAACAATTCTTCTCCCATTGCTCCAATTAATGGATATTTTTGTCCATTTAAGCAATTTCCTAAGAAATCATCCATATCAAGTGTCCATACCATGGCACCTCCATAACCATTATCTTTTATCCAGTTAAGCTAGAATTTAATATTTATGATTAGACTGATCAGACTTAGTTCGTAAAAAATGCCTTTTTAAAACGAAGCTGTTGGTGATTGCGCACCACTAATTTAAACTTGTGAGTTTTTAATATCTACTAATTCAAACTAGAGCATACCACAACTGGATGATTAATTCAAGCGTTGGAGGCCTTTTAAGAAATCCAATTTAGAAACGCACTCATAATGAAATTTTATTTTGGATTTGATGTCTTCTAAACCATTTTGAACTTTTTTTTGTAGTTAAAATATTCTAATATAATCTAATAAATTCTTTTATAATCTACACATATTTTCTAATAAATTCTTTTTTATTCTTTTTAATATAATCTAATAAGTTCTAATATAATCTACAAATATATTCCAATAACTGTTTTTAATATCCTACACTCTTCTCCAAACAATAATACTTTAATACGAAAAATATTAACGTTCCTAAATATTTAATACCTGGATATGTGACAAGGGAAATCAAATTTAAAAATACCCACATCTACACATAAATGTTTATGATAGTACTAATTGTTTCACGTTTTTTTTTTCAATTTCGAAAGTTTCATATCACATACATAACTCCTCTTCCATGAATATAATAAAATTTATTTGTAAATTTTAGAAATTGCAGAACATTTAATTTTCTTTCACTTTTAAAATAAAAATATTCTTCTAACTATAACATTAAACTTCTAACAATAAAGCAATACATAAAGCAAAAATTTATTAGCAATATAAATCTAATAATTTGCTCCACGAGCCATATTTCCTCAAAATTCATGTATAAAAAATTAAATGAAATAAAAGTATATTCGTATTACGTATAGTAGTTATTTGCGTGAATAGTTAAGTGAATGACATTTATAAAAGAATGTAACAAGCTAGGTTAATGTATACTATTTGTTCGGTTTCTTAAATGAGAAATAGATAAAAAAAAATATTCTACATACTTTTATTCTAATACTTTTCTCATCATCGAAACCAACCCATTGGTCACCATAATATGCATAAGGAACCTTTTGTTCATCATCCCACACATACTTTGCTCCTTTTTTAATGAAGTCACATACCTGTAAAATAATTATCCGGTCATAAAAATAACATAATTAATTGTTCAAATAGTACATTTATTAACACAGCGCATCTAATTAATTTTATGTAACTTTGCTTTAAAGTAGTTCAATGTGTTTGTTTTTAAAATTAAGTAAAGGTTCTAATGACGAATTGTAAGTTTATGAGCTACGATAACAAGTTAAAACTAGTAAATTATTACTGGTGATTTGGTATATTTTTAGTTTAATTTCATTAACATTTGCGAACGAGTCTTTTAAATATCTATTCTCATTGTGTTAATTCTTGGGAGAAATCCAACATTTCGAAAAATGGAGTAAACTTTAATTTAATATTGGTGGTTTTATGTTTATTATTTTTTCCTTAAATATTTTTTTTAATGTGTGAAAAAAAATCGGCACTTCAAGAAGAAGAATACAGATACCCACACTTGTGATCTATGACGTCAGCGCTAGATGATTGTTTATAAGCAAAATGGTTTGTTAAAGTTGATCTAGTTTCTCTACATAAGTTAAAATGTTAATTAACGTGAAGTTAATGAAATATTGCGCCGTATCGCACATCGAATTAGTTGAAATATAATTCTTTCACGTCTACTTCTTCTACTTCATTTATATTTATTATTTGCTTATGTATTGTAACCTGGATATATTTTTATTTTGTGTTCCTGGCAACTTCGATGTATAATTAGTTTGCTTATGCTCCACATGGCTTCATGCCTGTTTTTGTGTTAAGTAAGAAATATACAGTGAAAGAATTTAAATCTTTGTGAAGGAATATAGAATGTGTCTTGATACTCGACAGGCTTGGTTTAATTGAAATAGAATGGAAAAAACCGTTGATAACGTAAACAAAAGCCACGTTTCAACAACCAATCAGGTTCGAGATACCCTCACTACGTCACTTGCTGTTTAGATACTTGGAAAGTAAATGCAATTATGAATTTAGCTGTACTAGGCCTGCTTCCATGGGGAAATTTAAGAATTCCGTGGCAGCAGAGGCAGCACACATCACGGATTAGTCTTATCGATACTCGAGAGGTGACGTCATCTTTCAATCGTTATCGATTACAAAATAAATAGACAAACCTGGGAAAGTGGAATCTGGCTGTAGAGGATTAAATCTCGATCACATTTTCATCAATTTCAATGGAATTTTAAATTAAGTTAATTTTGGAGGGTGTTAAAAAATGTATTTTCCAATAACCACCAATTAGTTTTTCATTTTATCAAAAACAAAATGTTAAGTCAAATAACAAAAAAGGAAAAAAAAGGTAGGGAAAAAAAAGCAATAATAGATGACGACTAAAAGCGATTTGAACAATTTATACTTACTTCGTAATAAGCTAAAAATCCTTCCTCTCGAGAAAATGTACCAGCCTTTCCACCCCCACTAGTAGGAACGTTCATTCCATTTTTATCTGGACTTTGAAGAGAGAAGCTTCTTCCATAGGTTGCCAAACCAACAATTATCTTCTCTTTAGGTGCACCCATTTTTTCCCACAACTTCACACCGAATTCCTGTAAGAGAAAAAAAAATTAATTTGATATAATCATCGAAAAAGTGAGGATCGTACTGGAAAATGTTCCTGTGATACCATTTTTAGACTCATTTTTGCATCATTTTTAGAATAATTAGGTGTAATTACCATGCATAGTTGTTTTCTCCATTGCGATTCTGTTGACAAAGCGTACAGAGGGCTGTTATGACCGGTTTGGCTTTCCCATTTTCCATGAAAATCGTATGACATAATATTGATGAAATCACAATATCTGAAATTTTGTAAGAACATTTAAGATGACATCAGAAAACGTAAAAGTATAAAAGAATATTTTCACAATCACGGAAAACATGTTTTGTATATATTAAAGGGAAAATTATAAAATGTTAATTCCTACATTTTTGAATATTAAATAAACACAAATAATAAAATAATATAAAAATAAAATAATATGAAATAGAAAACTATTAATGGGAAAAACCAAAAGTGCTCCTCAGGACGCATCTTTTGGTATAGTTTAATGCGATATTTCTGAAGAAAGACAATTATCTTAAGATAAAAATTATTCTCTATAATATATATATAAATATATATATAATTATTTTGTCTCTCTTTTTGTCAGAGATAATATCAATTAGGAACTAAAAAATATATATAATAATTTTTGAGGACATGGAGTGTGTCTGGAACTGTTTATACAGATGCTACCAGTTGTATAAAAAACAATTGCACCACTTACCTTTCCTACAATATATCAAACAATATAATTTGATATAATTTTTATATTAGAGAGATTATAGCAATTTTACGTATCATCCCGCATGTTTATATACGCATAGTTATGTCCCGCATGCTTATGTACTGAATTATCTGAACAAAGCGCAGGTGCGGTACAACAGGATAATCTCGGTTCTATTCAAAAGTAAGGCAAAATATATTTAAATGATTGCGCGCTGAGAAAAACAGTATGCTCAAAACTACTGGAAAATAGTAAAAGTTATTGTGTTTCTGACCCTATGGAAACACATAATTTTTGTCCAAAGCACGTTGGTGTGATTTTGCTAAAATTAACAATATGGTATTTAATGTGTGATAAAATTTGGTAAAGTGGGTAAAGCACCTTAGAGCATGACAGAAAAAACCTTTTATTCTGTTAGATTTACTTTTCAGTTTTGTATTTTTCACTAAATGTTCAATAATAAGAACTATATTTTTTAAAACTAGAAATTCCGATAAATCGTTACCATATGATAGGAATAATTACAAATTAATGGTTAAAAAGGATAAAATCTATACTGTATTTTTTTTAACCAACAGTATTTTTTTCATCAGAAATGTTATTACTATACAGTACGGTAATTTTACGAAACTTTTTTTCTCCATGTACGGGACTGGTACGAGAAAGTGCTGCATCTCTCGAATAGAAATATTTCCTTCATGGACTTCTACCTAGTAGATATGTTAAATCTCTCGAATTCAGTATATTTGGCCGTATCTCACATGTTAACGCCCGGGTCACGTTAACGTATGTTCTGTTCAAGCTGCTTAGGGAACCGAAATAGTGTCTGAGAAAAACATTCTTGCATGAACATGCAGAAAGCAATGTAATGGCGCTCAATTTCTCTGATATCCTTTTCTCCTTACTTATATCGAGTTAACAGATATCTTTTCACGTTCGATCAATATATTGGATTCTGCAACTGATTTGTTTCAAAATTTTAAAACTTGTGTGTAAATCAATGTACTATAACGCTTTTCAAAAGCCTTTAATTTATTTTTCCAATTATTGAACACCGAATAAGTATAATTATTGTTTTTTTTGCATAAAATTATCTTTTATTTAACAGTCGCCGTTTTCTGTGTGACGCTATTTCAATACGATTAAAGATTTACAAAGGACTTTCTGGTGAAAAAGTGACCTTGTCTATTAAATTAATAAATAAGATTTGTTATTGCATATATGATTAGTAAATTGTAGTCCTAGTTCTGAAGACAAAAACATAAACAGCTGAAAACAGTACTTTTATGAAAATTAAAAAAGTTTATTTTAACAGCTAAATATGGACAAAAATCTCAATATGGTATTTTGAGGGGAGAAAGAGAGCACTTTTTTTAAATGTTTATGAAAAGTAATATGTTTTTTAAGATACTTACGCAGCCACTGCAGGTACGTCGTAACCTGAACGAATAGTTTCGGAACCAGCCGAAACAGCAACTGTTAGTAGAAGACGAGGTAACTTTTTGTCTTTGGATTCCTCTTCAAATGCTTCACGAAGTTCCTGTAACGGTAGAGTTTGTTTCATCAATGACACATTATCATATGTGGGATAAATAAATAGCGTTAATCTTTTTCTGGTAGAGTTCCAATAAGTTTGACATGACTAGCGGTCGGAATTAACGAGCCCCAAGTAGCGAATTTACAGTGGTTGCTACTTTTATTCGTAGTTTATAGTGCAGAGTGATATTTTTTTAAAAAGCTGTGTAGTGAGTAGTGCGATTTATATATACACCGAAGAGCCATTACATTATGACCACCCTGCTAATAACATGTAGGACCACCTTTCGCCCTTAAAACTGCTAGCACACGCCGTGGCATTGATTTCACAAGGTGCTGATAGATAGGCTGAAGTATCTGGTACCAAGAGCTCACCAACTGGTCCTGCAATTCCCTCACATTGCGAGGGGGTAGCGTGGCAGCACGAATTTGGTTTTCCAAGTAGGACCACAAATGCTCTATTGGATTAAGGTCAGGTGAATTTGGGGGCNAAGACAAAACTTAATTCGTTTACATCCATCTTTCTTGTTTTCTGCCCTGGAAAGGGTTTAGTCGATTAACAAAACAATAATGAAGACAAACAAATTTGTGAAGGGTTCGATTAAAAGAAAAATCATTTTGTGAAGGGTCCGTTTTTAAGTTAAAATATTTTGTGAAGGGTCCGTTTTTATGAAAAGATATTTTGTGAAGGGTCCATTAACGGACCCAAATTTCTTCTAAACAGACCCCTGGTAAAAGTTATTGTCTTTTTGACCCTATGGAAACACAAAGACTCTATAATTTTGGCCGAAGCACGTTGGTGCGATTTTGGTAAAATTAACAATATGGTATTTCAATGTGTGATGAAATTTGGTAAAGTGAGTAAAACCCCTTAGAGCATGACATAAAAACCATTTATTCGGTTAGATTTACTTTTCAGTTTTGTACTTTTTACCAAATGTTCAATAATAAGAACTAAATTTTTTAAAACCAGAAATTCCGACAAATCGTTACCATATGATTGGAATAATTACAAATGAATGGTTAAACAGGATAATCTATACAGTATTTTTTTTTTTAACCAACAGTATTTTTTTCATCAGAAATGTTATTAGTATATAGTAAGGTAATTTTATGAAACTTTTTTTCTCCATGTACGGGACTGGTACGTGAAAGTGCAGAACCTCTCTAATAAAAATATTTCCTTAATAGACTTCTACCGAGTAGATATGTTAAATCTCTGGAATTCAGTATATTTGAGCCGTATCCCACATGTTTACGCCCGGGACACGTTAACGTATGTTCTGTTCAAGCTGCTTAGGGAACCGAAATAGTATCTGTGAAAAACATTCTTGCATGAACATGTAGAAAGCAATGTAATAGCGCTCAATTTCTCTGATATCCTTTTCTCCGAATTTATATCGAGTTAACAGATATCTTTTCACTTTCTATCAATATATTGGATTCTGTAACTGATTTGTTTCAAAATTTAAAATTTGTATGTAAATCAATTCACTATAACGTTCTTCAAAAAGTTTGAGTTTATTTTCCCATTTATTGAACACTGAATAAGTATAATTATTGCTTTTTGCATAAAATTATCTTTTATCTAACAGTCGCCGTTTTCTATGTAAAGCTATTTCTACACGAATAAAAGATTTACAAAGGACTTACTAGTAAAAAAGTGACTTTATCTACTAAATTAATAAATAAGATTTGTTATCGCATGTATGATTAGTAAATTGTTGTCCCAGTGCTAAAGACTAAAACATAAACAGCTGAAAACAGTAGTTTTATGAAAATTAAAATTTTTTTTTTAACAACTAAATATGAACGAAAATCTCAATATGGTCTTTTGAGGGGAGAAAGAGAGCACTTTTTTTTAAATGTTTATGAAAAGTAATATGTTTTTTTAAGATACTTACGCAGCCACTGCAGGTACGTCGTAACCTGAACGAATAGTTTCGGAACCAGCCGAAACAGCAACTGTTAATAGAAGACGAGGTAACTTTTTGTCTTTGGATTCCTCTTCAAATGCTTCACGAAGTTCCTGTAACGGTAGAGTTTGTTTCATCAATGACACATTTTTATATGTAGGATAAATAAATCTTTTTCTGGTAGAGTTGCCATAAGTTTTCAAGTTTATATGCATGTGAGCGTTAATAAGAATTATGTATTTAGGATGACATATTACGTATAATTTTGACCACACCTTCAAATGCGAATGTACAGTGTACACTCGTGAAACATTGATGTTATTTTAATGAAAAAAAAAACATATTTTCTCTGTAATTTTCGAAGTTCTTTGTTTCTTAAGGGAAATTAAAGAGCATTTGCAAAATTTCAAATATTTGATAATTTCCCAGCACTTCTTGAATTAAATATTCGCTTTCGAGAGAGGTATAAAAAGTTGAAGGTTAAAAAGATGAATATGTAAAAATGCTCATGTGAACATGAATAGATATTTTGTAATACTTCATGTTTAAGTAAGCCAATATTTCTTTTAATTCAAAACTATTTTGAACTTAGTTGTAAATGAAGTCCTCCGACAAAGTTAGCCTTCTAAAAGTAGCTAAGCACTGACTACATTTTGAAAGTAGTTAATAGTCACTACATTTAAGAAAAGTTATTACCGTTGTAGTCAATTACATTTGTAATGAAGTAGTAGCAGCTAGCTATAAGAAATGTATTTTCTCTGACCACTAGACATGACCTAAGGACAAAAGCGTGGTCTTTTTTACAAAAAGCGTGGTTTGATATTTTTTATTTTATTAAAAATTATTGTTTTAAAATGTTAAATGAAGAAAGTTTTTAAGCTATATCTATAGGTGATGCATTTTTAAATCTATTTTAAGATGTGTCTCTAGGGAATATATACCAATAATGCTGAAACTGACTTTGTCTCAGAACTTAAGTAAGATATTGCTTCATTTTTTTCACGGAATATCTATGTATATACATGTTTGTTCTGGGATAACTGTTAATACATATCTTTGGCAAAAATGTTTTTTGAAAAATTAAGAACTAAGAATTTTTAATCTCTTAAAAAGTTTCATCCCTTTTGAGCAAAAATCTTTCAAAACTCAAAAGGTATTCTTGTTAACGCTAAAACATTATCGCAGCATGCTAATGAATTAATCTCAAATATCCCCGAAAAAGTTCAAAGCGATATCATAAATAGATTCTTAGAAAAGGAACACTGAAAAAAGTCCGTTTTAGCATTATTGATATATCCCTACCGACTCTCCTTAAATAATTAAATTTTACGACAGGTCTGTTTCCGAACAAAATCTATTACGTAGGTAGAACTGTAAATCCTTGCTCAGTATAATTTGGTGAATAACATAAAACTGAAAAAACTAAATTTAACAAATTTCTTAAAGAAAATTCTAAGTTAGTGTTCTCTATATTTTGACATTAGAGGATTGGGGACATCACGTCTGAAACCGCTTCATTATATGAACAGGAAAAGTAAATTTGAATACAAAAGAATTTTGCGAGAACTTCTCGAATTTTCCAGACTGCTGCTGTCTAACTAGCCGTTTAATAACAGCATCACATATCTCGTATGCTGAGAGGATACAAAACACATATCTTGTTTCTTGTCTGAATATGAAACGACATTTTTTTAAAAATCTCTGTTATTTGTCACATTAATGCTGCAAGTAATTCTTCACTGACATTCGGAAGATCTGTTCAGCAATCTTTTACGATGTTAATGTATTCGGAAAAGGTGGAAATAAATGTTAAGGGACAATTCCGTTCATTTGCGGTATTGTAATTTGAAAAGACCGGTAAATTACAAAAGGAAAATATTCTTTTGTAATGCAAAATATTATGCAGATTCAATTTACACATTTTCTAAACATGCAATTTGCACATTTGCATTGTGTTAGAAAAGTGGTGATTATTGAGCGACGGCAGCCTTTACTTCCCATGGAGCTGATCACTGGTTACAGGACACTAGTTCTTATCAAGGACAGTACTGTGCTTTAACCACCGTGCTTTCTCGCTCCTTATTCCACCAACTTTTTACGTTTTTTGCGAAAATATCTTCTAGTAGTAACTAGGTAATATAGGACGAGATAGCCAGATTAGTAGGATGTTGGACTCATGTCCAAATGGTCGTGGGTTTGATCCCTGCAGGGGGAAGACTCCTCGTGACTGGTAATATGTGGCCTCGTGACTAGTAAATGGTGACTGGTTCAACTTAAAATCTGTCGGGTCCCAAAGTCCAGTCCTCCATGTTCCCATAACAAATTATACCTCTGGGGGTATTGAATTGGAGATTGATCGTTAATTACAATCTTATTCAAAGTTACAATCTATGAATGAATGGATGTATGAATGGCTCCGCCCTATAAATGGACTGAGAGGAGTGTGTGGCTGAAATTGTATTCTTGGCCATAGATGGCGCCATTGAAAAATACGAAGTGTACTATTTGCCTTAAATTCGCTTGGCTTCACCAAGCAGGCCTGCTTATATTGGCAAGTGACATTAAAAACAACAACAACATGTCTTAATATAATATCCACAGATTTGTAAATTTGATTAAAAGTTATTTTTCATATCACTATATGTAAATGATTCAAAAGTTTATATGGCAAGTCACTTTATTCCAGCTTTTTCGTGGTGAGGCTTTCAAACTATTGACAAAATTACCAAAAAAATTAACCACTCTACCACTCGATAAAATACTTTGCTAAAAGCTTAGTAGGGGGAGTCGAGGGCTCTGTCCCCTGAGCCATCGTGGCTTATGAAATGCATAGCAAACAGGATATTGTAAAAAAATAAATAAATCTCATATTAGAGGAGTAAATTATTTATTTAGATACGATGACGCATGCACAATAAAAAAAGATAATCCTTTCCAATTATTGAAGAAAAGCAGATAAAAGGAAAATCACTGACTAACTTGATGGTTGGACGTTTTTGAATGAGATATGAGATCTAGAGCGGGTGGAGTAGAGTAAATGAGGAACTACAAATTTCATGTTTTACATTTTATGTGATTTTTGAATTTTTTCAATCCTTTGAAACGAAAATCGATAGCTTTAAGCAAGCATAGCTTTTAAATAAAAGCAACAAAATTCGTTTTATCCCGTAATTTTATGAATATTTCTGACTGCTGTTGAACAAAGTGCAAATTAATGATATAAAATACTTAGCATTCAGGAAAGCTTATCAAACATAATTTTTGAATTCTGTCTTCTTTTGATTGATGCAACGTTTTCGTTTTTTTAATCATCAGATTTATCACCTTTGAGAAGAAAGTAATTATTCACTGTCATTTAGAAGGGAACGATCCTATTCAGCAATCATTCACAAAGCTAACATATTCGAAAATGCAAATAAAAAAAATAAATAAATAAAGGAAAAAGCACTTCATATGGGTTGTTTTCTTTTATGTTATTAACATGACTGTTAAATTATTTTACGGACCTTTTGGATCGTATATTATTATCCTATAATTTGCATATTATTATATAATTTCAATTACTTTATTCATTTTAAAATACATAGTATAAAAAAACTTTTTTTCATATGCTATCGTTATAAAGTATTAAAATGCTATCACACTTAATTCATTAAGACTAATGAATTTAAAATCAGCTTTCTATTTGATGAATTGCTTCGTGCCTATCACATTTGAGCCTCTAAAAAAGTGGTTAGGTTTTAATGAAACTATGTGAAATTTTGATTAATTACCTTGATTGCTTTGAACTTTTAAAGACTTCAATTAATATGAAGATGAATAAATGTCAAGGATTTAGGCTTTTGGTACAAAATAAACATTTTTAAAAATTAAAATTTAAAAAAAAATATATAAAAGTCAACAAGAGGTTGCAACTTGTATTGAAATAATGAGAGGAAAAAACATACGTAAAAAATAAACGAAGATACAAATAAAATGCAAATTGTTCCTTTTTCTATTTAAGAAGCTATGCGTATAGTCTGATAGTATGTTATTGTTTGAGAATTGTATTTATCACAATTTTAAAGCTAGCATTGAAAAAAACTCGAATTCATGCATCAGATTCAAATATAAACTGGAAAAAAAACTAACAACGAGATTAAAATTTGAATATTTCAGATTTGCAGAGTAGTAAAAATTTTTTTATTTGAAGGTACTTAGTTCAATGTTTTAATTTGTTGTTAGTAATCAAATGCAGTTTGTTTCAATAGCACTGATATGATTACAATCTCATGATCTCATAAAAATTACATTGCTGAATTATTACATCGGTAGCTTGATTGCAGTTCAAATTTGCTGCAACATAAGGTTGTAATTGAACCATGATTCCATTTTAAGTACCCCTTCATAGTATTGTGTTATGAAGTTTTACAAGTATAATAGTATTATTAAACTTAGCAGCTAATTAAAGCTTCAAAATCTGATCGATATTATAGTTAAAAACGCTTAAAAAATGCAACAGTGTAAACACTGATAACCCACATAACAGATATAAAGGTCATCTTAGTTCAGAGAGGGCGAACCTTTTGTGATAATGTTAAATTTCATTATTTTCGGGTGTCTAATGTGTCAAATGTTACTTTTCTTTCTAATAACAATCTTTGAATTGTTGTACTTGACTCGCGGTGGCTCAAGAGATAGAGCGCTTGCCTTCAAATGAGGTATCCCAGGTTCGAGTAAAAGCCGCAGCCGTTTGCTGACGGCTCACACCGACCGTAGTGCTGACATAAATTATCCTCAGTGGTACCTAAATCATGGGTTAGAGTTCCATTGTGGCTGGGCTAACAATGGGAGGATTTCGTGGTTTTAAGCTTCATGTAACGCAAATGCGGGTTAGTTCCATCAAGCAGTCCTCTACTAAGGCTTAATCTGGGAATTCCTTTGTCTTCTGGATTGGGTTCGAAATCACAAGGCTGCGGTGTGGAAATTTAATGGTCGTGAACTGCGTGGTCGTGAGCTGCTCAACGCCGATTATAAAATAAACTCTAAATTTGTTGTACTCAGATTTCGAACTAAAATATCACATTATATAGCTAGATTTTCTGTTTAAATGTTAATGTTAATTTGCTACAATGAAGTCTGAATAAAGATTTGTTTTTAAATTTTAATTTGATATTAAACTAAGACTGAATAGTGTAAAGTTTGTGTGGTATTTTAAAGAAAATTTAACAGAGAAATGTGAACTTCTGAATTAACTATCACGGCGAATGTCTCTTCGTGGAAGATGGCTTGAATTATTACAATACACATTTCATGATTTCAAATAAAAAAAAAAATTAAAAAAAAATTAAAAAAAAGAAAAGAGAGAGGAGAAGTAACTACCCTCTGAGCAGTTGTCTTGTAAAAAAATAATTTGGGCTTTCTTTAGGGTTTTTAAAGTAAAATGTAATTATTGACCTTTATACTCTGAGTATACTACATAATATAAATTGTTTTTTCGAAAAAAACCATCTTCTTACATAAAATGTCATAAGATAAAAAAAATTCTCCGATTTTTAGGCGAAATAAGAAACTTTAATTACCACGGCATATATATAATTTAAGTAAAAATATCTAGTATAAAAGTTTTATTTTTAAACAAGTTCAGTTTAAAAAGAAGAAGAATATGTAACAAGAACAGTTTTATTTTTAAACTGAAACGAAATCTAAAAAGGGGGTGTTCAAATATTTTATAGTCATGGTTTCGCCAATTCTTATTCCCTCTCTTAGCAAAATAAGTAAATTATAAATTCCATCCCATGCACACGTAAGAAATTTCCAACACTCTCTTCTTGTGTTTGCTTTTACCTTCACTTTTACTCTAGTAATCTAATTTTAGGAATAAATTTAAATAATGTGCTTTCCCTCGGTGGTCTTGAACTCTAACTCTTATAAAAGAAATTATTTCGAACTTTACTTCTCTTAAATTTAACTTTGATTAAAAATATGAAGCTTTCAAAGTTTAATGTTTTTCCAAATTTTCCGTTACTTTTTGCATTAAAAATAGAAAATAAAGGGATTATAGTGTATTGTTTATTTATACCTCGACCTGCCCTATTCAGGGCACACGAGAGTAGAACAAACATTCTACTGACAAAACGTACATAAAACACAAAAAATTACTTTAGCAACAAATATAAATGACATATAAAGAATTAATTAAATTATAGGAAATCATTGTTCACTCCTTCTGCTTGTAAGTAACAATAAGGGGATCTTAGGTGTTCTCAGGGTCTCTCTTAGGTGCTTCGTAATACTTGAATGGCCATAAATTATACGTTTAGTTAGTTAGTTGACAACACATGGGTTTCGTCTTCCTTAATAGATTTATTTCTTCGAAAGTACAAGAAATTGTGCATATGACGAATTGTCTCTGCGAAGAATTATTCCCATGATTAATTGTCGTTGCGACGAGTTGCACCAGCGACGAATTGTCTCCGTGAAGAGTTGTACCCACGATGAATTGTCGCTGTGACTAATTGTGCTCCCGGCGAATTATTACAAGACAAATTGTGTGCTATGAACTGTGCATGACGTAGAACCGCAATTCGGTACTATTTTGAATTTTTTTCGTATTCAGTTTTCTTGAAAGGCACGTTACTTATAACTCCGAGAAAGTTCTTTGTTTTTACTTCGTATGCTTGTTCAGTTTTGAAGCATTCATAATATTTAAAATGGAAAAAAAAAACTAACAAGATATCCTTTATTGTAAACTATTTGTAGCTTTTTATATCTAATTATTCAATGAATCTTCACTGCGACGAATTGTGATTGCGATAAATTGTCCCTACGAAGAGTTGCACCCACGATGAATTATCGCTGTATCGAATTTTGCTCCAGACGAATTGTTACAAGACAAATTGTGCTCGACGAATTGTGTGTGACAAAGCGACGTAGAACAGCTCTTTGGTACTATTTCAAATTTTTTCGTATTCAGTTACTTGAAAGGTACTTTACTTAAAACTTCGAGAATGTTCTTTGTTTTTATTTTGTATGTATGTTCAAAGTATTCATTATAGGCTCTATTCCTATTTCAAAAGGAAAAAACTAACAAGATATCCTTTATTGCAAACTATTTACAATATTTTTTAAAACCGATTTGTGCTTCTACACTCCCTCTATTGAAATGAAAACAAGGTTAAATACTATTTAGGAACGCAGAAGTCAAAAATGTCGGCAGAAACACTTATTATCTTTTATGCATCTGGTCGGTAATCGTACGACCTTGAAAGATAAAGTTGAATATTTAAGACATTCTGGTAAACGGGTAAAAGCAAAAGTATTCTAGGTGGATTGTATTTGAAGGTAAAAATATAAAAACGAATGAAATAACTGTTCGTGGTCAAGGGCATTAGGAAAAGTTGATATCTTGAAATACCACTTTCATAAACCAGGTAAAGAAACTAAAGATTCTTTTGCGTCACATGTTAGAAATGAAACTTTTTTTGTGTACATTACGTTATAATTTAGTATTGTGTTTACTGAAACTGTAATGATAGAAATAGAAAGCAATAAATTATTTTAAACCTACGCAATATAAAATTTTCATGGAAAATTCGATAAAATTTATTTATCATAAAATTAAACTGAATTAATTCATTGTCTTGACTCAATACCAGATAAAAAATGATGACGTAAAGGATAATACGCATGAGTATTCTAGTATAATAGAATACATTTGGACCCGAAATAATGCGTTGAACATTTGCACAATAAATTAAAAATAGATATAAATTTTGATCTGTGTATTCCATGTTCTGCATTTGATGCAACTAAAATTTTAACTTGAATTCTAAGTTCTAAGACTTGACAATAAATTTAATAGCACTTTTAATTTATTTTAATTGTATTGATGATTGTGATTAAAAAACGCTGTTAGTTACGGTGATAAGTATCGACTCTCTGAGTGTCGGTACTTTTTACCGTGATTTAATCGAGAATTTTTTACAGTTCATATTTTTTATAAGGTGAATAATTTCACAATAATTATTGTAGCATTATAATGCATTTGGTCTGCCAAAAATATTGCGGTATTGATACCCCTGGTTGAAATGTGTTATTCCTCTCATTATTAAAGTACAAATTATGCTCATACTTACTTTCAACAAGAGTACGAAATTCTTCTTATCATCTGGTCCTCTGGGGAATTCCCAATCCAAATCAAGACCATCAAAATTCCTGTCCCTCAGGTATTTGATTGCACTGAATACATAAAGTTGACGGTTGTAGCGATTTGATGCCATGTCTTTGAAACGCTGAGTTCCAAAAGACCATCCACCTGCACGATTTAAAAAAAAATTCCTGTTAGTTTTATCACAACATAATTCATTCTCATTACCGATTTCTTAACTAATCTACTCAATTATTAATAGAATTAGCCACTGAGCTAAAAGAAACTGAGCAGTGAATGAAAAACTGCTGAGCTGTAAATAAAAGGCTACTGAGCTGTAAATAAAAAGAAAATGAGCTATAAATTAAAAACTGCTGAGATGTAAATAAAAGGCTACTGAGCTGTAAATAAAAAGTAATTGAGCTGTAAATAAAAAGCCACTGAGCTGTAAATTAAAAGATAATGTTTTGCAACAATTTAAAAAATATACAATAAAGAATACAATTTAAAAATTACAGAGCCAGGAAAAGAATATTGCAATTTTTTTTTAGAAATATTATTACTTGAAAAATAAAATTGTATGAAAGCATTAGTAAACGATATTACTAGTTTTTATGTTTTAAGTTCCTATGTAAGCGTATATAATGTGATGATTGGATATTATTTTAAAAAACTGGTTCTATGAAAACAACTAAGAAAGTTGATAAAAATAAATATTATTTGGAAATTTTTTGTTAGAAAACTTCTGAATTTAAATTGTTAAAAATGACAAAAGAAGTGTTTATTTCAGATTTTAGAAAATAAATTTCGTTAATTATAATAAAACATTTTTGAAAATTAAAAAACAAATAGAAATTTAGTTCCCTAAAAGTTGACCCTTAAGTTAACCCGACTTTTTTGTAACATTCTAGTTTGAACAGCAGATCATCTTCTTTTACTTAAATCGTTATTGAACAACTGCAAAATGTTAATTAAAAGTTTCCGTTCAGCTAACTTTCATACAAATTAAAACAAGAAGTTAATGACCCTATCTTTACATTATTTATTGAGCACTAACTGAACTACAAAATCATTTTTTAAAATATTAAATCACGAACTAAATGAATGAATAAATATCTAATTGAAACATTAATCACAGAAAGATAGTTTCAAACTAATTACATTATCAAATAACAAACATAATCAATAATTGAACTAACTAAATTACTAATTACGCTAAATTTTGACGAATTAACTGAATTATTAAATAACAATCTAAAGCACACAATCAATAACCAAATTATAAAATTACTAAATAACCTACTTAATCACAAAACATATAAGAGAGTTACTAAATCCCTTGTTAAATGATTAAATTATTGATTGAATCCAATTAATTAACTGTATCCATAATAACTACAAAATACTTAATTCTTATAGCCACTAAATCGTTAAATTAATCATTAAATATTCACTGACTTGCTAAATCACTCACTCATTTCTGTCTTTATTACAATTAATATGCTATGTAATTGCCGATGATAGAAGATATGAGTTGGATAAAAAAATACTGAATTTGCACCCGGGTTTTTATTAGTTGCCCCCAGAAACAGATACAAATTAAAGATGTAAATTGGATAAAAAAAAGGTTTGCAAAATTTGAACTTCAACAGGTCTTTTATTAGTTGTTCCCAAATACAGTTATAAATATTCAAATTAAAAATATGAGTTGGATAAAAAAATGTTTGAAAATTATGAAGTTGCAATGGGTATTTCATTAGTTGTACCCCAAAACAGTTCTACATATTTAAATAGTGTAAATAATAGTAATAAAAATGCTCTTAATATTTTAATAGCAAACTTCTTCAAAAGAATTATGCTTTAAATGCTGTCATTTGGATGTTTTCAAACTTAACACATTTCATAACTCACGTTTATGTTTTTTATTATATTCTGTTTATAGGTATGTTATACTTCGTTGAATCGTGTAGAACCTTTGTAACATACCCATTTAAAAAACTAGGTTTATTACGCAGAAGGTAGTTTTATGACAAAATTAAAAATAAAAAACTCTTGAGCACGCTATTATGAAATGAATGAAACTTTTGTTCATTGCTCTTTTAATATTGCATGAATTATTCAGCGAAAAGGGGAAAAAACAAGGAGGAAAATAGGCAAAGAAGTAAGCATTTAACGGTGAAAGACACAGTAAAAAGATTCATTGTCAAGATTATAAATAAATATACATATAAGTATAAAGTTTCTAACTATGCATTAAAAAATTAATAATTAATAGATATAAAAATAGAATGTTTTTGTACATAAAGCATATTCTAGATAAATAAAGATAGATGTTTCTGTACTGTAAAAAAAGAATGGTCATACTACCAGTTTGTGGTAAAATTTACCGTGTTTCTTGCTCTTCTTTTATGGGAACGAGTTTCTGAGTATTCCGAGTTTCTTCTATGGGAAAACCAAGAAACTTGGTAATTTTTACCGAAGCATTTTGGTTAAATTTTGATAGAATTAACAATTAAATATGCGTTATAATATGTGACAAAATTTGTTAATTTTATAATGATACTTTAGAGCACGGCCTAAAAACTATTTATTTGGTTAACTTTATTTTAATTTTCCGTTCTGTTCTTTTTTTATTAAATGTGTGGTAAATAAGAACTATAATTTTGAAAACCAGAATTTCCGGTAAACCGTTATCAAATGTACTGAAAAATTACTAAATGAATGATTAACAAACGAATATTTTAATTATTTTTTTACCAGAAAAGTTCTTATCATATAGTACGGTAATTTTACCAGAATTTTTTTCCGTGTGTAAAAATCTTTAATAACCTAAGGGATATTAATAGAAGTTACAATTAAAGCTCATTAAGTATTACTCAATAATTTCGTTGAATTTTTTAATATAAATACATCCTCTTATAAGATAATGATATCTAAAAAATTATTTGATTATTAAAGAATTTATCATACAAGTTCACGTTTTTGTATTAAAAACGTTCACAGTTTAAGTCTCACCATAAAATTTATTTAGCGTTTAAAATAACAAATTTACTTTTGAAGAGTTGTAATTATTTTTAACTTTACAATAGTTTTTTTTTTGTTAATTGCCCTATTTACCAAACTTTACCACTTTTATCAAATTTTATCACATATTATAAAACCATATGTTTTGGTAATTTTACCAAAATCACTACCTAAGTGCTTCGGTAAAAATTACCGGGGTTTTTGGTGTTCCCATAGAGTCAGAACCGCGGTAAATTTTGCTATATTCTGGTTATTTTGACCATACTTTTTTTCTCAGTGTAGTAATCAATTACGAATAAATTCAAACGCAATATACCTATGGCTAGAAGGACTTTCAAATCCTTATTTTTGTTTTTGATTTCCACCAACCTCTCGTACATTCCTTTCTTTCCATTCTTAGTTTCATCTGTGGAATCAAAGGAAGATATCTTGTGCTTTTTCATCCAACCAAAAGCAAATATCAGATGGGTGCACAGTTTGGGTTCTATGTCCTCTGGAACATACTTCCCTTCGTTAGGTCGATACTGAGCCCAATTTGTAAAATAACAGACGATTTTTTTGGAATTATCTTTTTTGGAACCTATATTAAAAATAAGAAAAAAAAGTCCTAAGCAAACAAATTTTGCATTTTTAGCGAAACAAATACGCAAAGCAAATGTTAGAGTTACATCTTAAAAAGAACTTAGCACATATACAGAAAATAATAATTTAAGAAATTATCAGAAAGATTAAAAAAAATATTGGTAACATCATCTTTTCACCTCATTAAAATTTGCAAATACTTCAATATCTCTTGCAAATGTATGAATTATGTAAATCTAGCAAATCTTGTTAAATCTAGTTATTGTTTGATTCTGGTAAATTTTGATCATCATGAGTTGGCCTCGAGCACGGAATTCACTCAAAATGATACTTAATACAGTTAATCTTTATTTAAATAGGATAAACCACTAAAAACAAGTTTTGCCTGATCTAATTACGTAAAGCCATCAGAAAGGACAAAAAATAAAAATAAATTAAAACATTTGAATTATTTTAACTCGATTTATTTTGTTGGTACATGCCTTTCAGGTTTGGACAGCATTTTGCAGTATTGTTTAGTACTGATTTATTGATTACTTACTGTTTTTTACAACGTACGAGGAACGGGGATTCAGATTTAAATTAATAAGATACGATAAGACTTAATAAGATAAGATTTAAATTTTTAACCATGTTTCCAGTCAAGGTGGAAGATCATCAAATTTATAAAAGGTAATTATTACGATAATTTGGATAAATTTGACATCATGTAAAGTATTTATCAAATTCGCACTACATTATGGTTTAACAAGCTGAAATCTTCATATCTTATTAATATCGCAAAACATTGAAAAATAACGTAAATTAATCGATTCCAAAGTTTTTAAAAGCAGTACTTAAAAACGGAATCTTATAAAGGAAGCCACATTTGCACATATTTATTACTTAAGTTCACTACCTTTAAGAAAAAAAAAATCGTTTCAAATTTAATTAAAAATAAAAACTAGTCATTCATTTAATTTATCATTCATTGTAAAAACTAAACGTGCCTATTTTTCAAAGCAACTTTAAAGAAAGAAAAAATTAGGTAGCAATAGTATAACAATCAAATGTTTTTGATTCATATAGAACAAATATAATTTCAATCTTTTTTTACAAAATGAAGATTTGAACGTATTTACTTACTTGTTAATTTGCTACCATGTACACACAGGAGAAGCGCAGCAGTACAAAGAAATATAATTGAACTTGTCCCCTAAAAAAAAAGCAAAATATTTATTAGATATGAATGGTAAATTAACTAAATCATAACAGGAATACACTCTGGATCAAATTACGGTATAAGGTCACAGCACTTTGAGTCCATCATCCATAAAATCTATTTTACCGTAAAATCCATTTTTATCGTAAAATATTATACCACAATTTTTATAGCAATATTTACAACTATTTCTATTACTGCAATTATTACTATAAAAATTACGGTATTTCAGATTTTTTTGTTCGTTCCGTAACAAGTTCCGCTAAAGCTAAATTTTACTGGCAAAAAGTACCGGGACTTGGAGTACCAGTGCTTTTTTTGTGATTTGGACAGGAATGTTTGACAGTGCATGCATGAAAAATAAAATATGTATTAATTTCTAATAACAGATATTTTTTTAAAAAGAAGTTGAAAGTTTCTTTTTCTCAATGTAAAAATTTTTATAAAATTTTCCTGTTTGCGTAGGAAGTTATATTTTTGACACAGATTTTTAAATAAGAGTGGAAAGCAATTTTGGTTTTTCTTTACTAATTTGCAATTACAAATAATGACTTTCGATTACAAGGAAATTTATTTTTTATGATGCATGTCCTACTTAAATTAATGAACTTTCACTGTGCTATTATTATGTAGCAAAAAAAAAAATAACAATTTTGTTAAAACAAAGCTCTTGCTTCAATAAATTATTGTATCTGATAAGTAGAATTGAATGAAAATATTGAATCCTATGTTGTTAAAGATAGTTCTGTAACTCCAAGGAACTACAAAACTGTCTTCGATAACACCGGGACAAGTTTACACCTTTTCGTTGCTTTGCTTTTTATGTAGGCAAATTTCTTAATGCAAATACCTAGTAGTCTTTTAAGTCTTCAAATACATTTTAATTCGTTTATCCTATTTCCTAACGCTTTGTTTGATTTTGAAATTTTGTATAAAATTTAATTTTACTTTATCGTGGTCATTGGACGTGAAATGTTTTACAGTTTTACCTGGCTTTTTCTGATGCATAGCATGCCAACCATTCTTTCTATGTCAAGTTATTCGATGGAAAAGTTGCTTACAGAAATGGAATTCTATGTAATTTTGACAGTATGGGTTAGAGATAATTTGTTTTTGTAAATATGCAAAGCAGAAATTACATTTATGAATTATCTCAGTAGAATGGATAATATTTATCAATCTCAATTGATATAATGCAATATGAGTCAGAGGTTATAATTCTAAAAATTTATTAAGAAAGGAGGGAAACTATTTTTTTTAGAGTTTGTGTCCTGCTATATAAATTTAGAACTATTTATTGATAATTGTATAAATTTGCAGCACACAATCAATTTAATTCAATTTAGATGTAATAATACTAAATATTTATTAAGAAAGGAGTGAAACTTTTATTTTTAATGCTTACGCTGCCGCTACATGAAGTTAAAATTATTTATTGACAAATATATAAATTCACCAAGCATAATAAATTCAGTTCAATACAAGTTAGGTGTAATAATAGTAAATATTTGTTGAGAGAAGAGAGAAACTATTTTTTTAAAGTTTAAAGTCGACACTACACACAGTTAGAACTCTTTATTGATAAATGTATAAATTCACGAAACACAATCGATTCAATTCAGTATAAGTTATATACAGTAATAGCAAATATTTATTAATATACGAGTGAAACTATTTTTTTAATGTTTACACCGCCGCTGCATAAAGCTAGAACTATTTATTGCCTAATATATAAATTCACCAAACACAATGGATTCAGTTCAATTTAAGTTAGGCGTAATAATACTAAATATTTATTAAGAAAAGAGAGAAACTATTTTTTTTGAAGTTTTAAGTTGCCACTACGTAAAGTTAGACCTCTTTATTGATAAATGTATCAATTCGCGAAACACAAGAGATTCAGTTCAGTATAAGTTAGATATAATAATAATAAATATTTATTAATATAAAAGTGAAAAGATTTTTTTAATGTTTACGCTGCCGCTACTTAAAATTAGAACTATTTATTGACCAATATATATAAATTTACCAGACACAATCGATTCTGTTCAATATAAGTTAGACTTAATAATGCTAAAAATTCATCAAGAAAATAGTTAGATTATTTTTTTAAAAAAAAGTTTACATCACCAGTATATAAAGATCGAACTATTTATTGATAAATGTATAAGTTATAGTCTTAAAAACACATGAAGGACAAAATTCTTCTTAAGAAACATGGCTATGAGTGAATATTCTAAAGTAATTTAAATCGTTAACTCCTAAAAAGGAAATACGCAGACCATTAGCTGTTATGTCCATGACTTATATTGACAAGAAGTGTTTTATTGTTCAGATAGAGAAAGGTAATTTTTACGAAGAAAAAGCTGACTTTTTAAAGGCAAATTTAAAACAAAAGCGTAAGTAGGGCAAGTAGCCATTTTGTAAAAGACAATTCTTTAGTTCTTTTTCTGAATATTGTAAAAGAAATATGAAAAGGAACTCGCCGACTTTGGAATGATTCATGATTTTTCATTTTACTTTATTTCATAAGTCTCTTCAATTTTCTTCAGTTGCTGGTTTTGGCGTATCCAAGTTAAAAGGAGTCAAGAATTTTGAATGTATTGAAATACACTATTTCTTTTGTGTTTTCTATTGGTTTTGAAATCATTGTCCAGATTTAGTATAAAAAATTAGATCAAAACAAGAAATTATTAGATTATATTCCTTTGTCTTCTTCCATTAAAATTCTTGATGCTTCCGAAATATTATTGTATTTCTAGATTATATGTAATTTATATTCAAATACAATGCTTGCAAATATTATTAGCTTTTTTTTTAATTTTGAAATAAAATTCTATGAATCACAATGCATGGAGAAATACTTAATTTGCGATGTTTTTATAAAACTTTGGTTGAGATGAACTATTTGTATTTTTTGGGGGTAATTTATTCTAACCTAAATAGGATAAACATATAAATTATTATAGCGAAAAGGAATGTTGGATAACCTAAAGGAATGTTGTACAAACCTTGCCAAAAAAGGCTAATGAATCAAAAGGATGATATCCTTTAATCATAGTTTGATCATGATGGTTCGGTAGCACAAAATCCATCAAAAAATTGTGAAACCATCAAAAATTTTATGAAATTCTATGTTTCCAAATTCTAAAATTCTATGAAACACAATGCAGGGAAAAATACTTAATTTGTGATGTTTTTATAAAACTTTGGTTGAGATGAACTATTTGTATTTTTTGGGGTAATTTATTCTAACCTAAATAGGATAAACATATAAATTATTAATAGCGAAAAGAAATGTTGGATAACCTAAAGGAATGTTGTACAAATTTTGCCAAAAAGACAAAGGAATCAAAAGGATGATATCCTTTGATCATAGTTTAATCATGAAGGTTCAGTAGTACAAAAACCATCAAAAAATTGTGAAACCATCAAAAAATTAACCTATGTTTCCAAATTCTAAAATTCTATGAAACGCAATGCAGGGAAAAATACTTAATTTGTGATGTTTTTATAAAACTGTGGTTGAGATGAACTATTTGTATTTTTTTGGGGTAATTTATTCTAACCTAAATAGGATAAACATATAAATTATTAATAGCGAAAAGAAATGTTGGATAACCTAAAGGAATGTTGTACAAATTTTGCCAAAAAGACTAAGGAATCAAAAAGATGATATCCTTTGATCATAGTTTAATCATGATGGTCCAGTAGTACAGAAACCATCAAAAAATTAACCTAATATGAAATATTCTTTTTAGATTAATTACTTAAAAGGATCGTAAAATTTAAAAAAAATCAAGCAAAAGCGATTTTAATGATTTCAAAAATATTTTGATATATTTTTTACTAAAATAACTGAATACTTCTAAACATTTATTTTTAAAAAACATTATCTTAATCTATGCATTTGCATTTTTTATTATTTTTCACCCAGAAATTATAATATTTTTTTTTAAAATGGAAAACAGAAAAATATATTTATCTATGTATTAAATTATGGATTAATTCTGTTGTTTGATTTAGTAGTTTTTTAGTAGGGTGACTTTTTATTTTTTCTGTATATTAATAAGCCAGCCATTTAAAGCAAATTACTTAACTTAATATAATAACTACAAATCAATTAATCAACTTAATGTTTTCAAAAGATTGTTTAATAAAAGAAACTATTACAGCTATATATTCCATTAATGTTGACGCTCATTAGTCGCTTTCAGTGATCATTAATTGAATAAAAGAAAACAATAAATGGGAAAATGGTTAAACAGGTGAAGAACATTATTTCTTTTTTTTACATATTCTAAACAAGTTAGTGGCATTGTTCTACATAATAGCTTTACCTAATGGAAAATACTGTTCGTGGGTTTCAAATTCACTCCATTCAACTATCCATTATCATAAATGGATTTGCCATGAGATTAGTTTAAAATAAATCTGTGTTACTTTGCGAATTAAATTGCTTGCCAGCACACCGGTGAATTTTGAGGTCAGATTGAGCGTTAAGCTGGCTCGCGGCTTAATTTAAAGCTTATTATTCCAAGATTTGACCCACGCGTTTTATAACTTTAAGACAATGGGAAATCCATTTTGTGCTTAACTAATGGATACCCGCTGTGTATAGTAAAATGAGAATGATCAATCATAAGCTTATTCCGCGCAAAGCATAGTTGTTGTTTACGTTTATATCATTTGACGTTATTTGAAAAAAACCGAGATATTTCAATCGTATTTGTCTCTTCATTTATGATTGATGTTGCAGAGTTTTGAAATTTGTTACATTGCATGCATATTTCGAACGGGAAACTAGATGAATTTTAAGTATGCTTTTAAACTGATTACATAAACTAAAACACGACAATTGAGTGTTTTCAAATAATCTTATCTGTAAGATTATTCTCAAATGTGTTTTCACAACTGACAATTGTTGTTAAATGTTAACAATTTTCAAACTTCTTATCAGATGGACATTGTCAGCACATTTTAAACTCTTCAAA